CTCCCTTCTTTTTCTCGCGTTATTTCCTTGCGCTTTTTTCTCCTTGGCATATACCTCTTCGTCTGACGGGTTGATTCACGGCGTAACGGATCTGGAGTGGGTTCATCGAACACTCCCTCTCGGTCTGAGGCTTTTTCCCCTTGACTTTGCAGGGGACAGGCGTCACAGAAGAGAGGTTTCTGAATTTTGGGATGATTATTACGCGTATAACCGGCCTGCTCAGCTGGTCATTTAGTATCTTGTTTCCTTGGCTTGGTTTTCCTTTTGAGCGTCCCAGCATTGGACATGGTCACGGCAACAACGGGGGGGACAGGTAAACGGTGAAGGGTGGGGGGGCATTGGGTTCGGCACGGATTCCTGGGCAAAGCAACCCTAGGACATTGGGATAATTCGGGCCCTGCTCACGCATCCCAGAGACTGCCTCAGGGCACTGTTGGCTGGTCCAGGGTGGGCTTGGTGATGACTGTTGCGCGTTTGTTCTATTAGCTCATACTAATGTTTTGTGCTGCTGATATCCATTTCATCTTTCTCTTCTCCTTCGTCCTTTTCCTCTGCTGATATTGCGTCTGCTTGTTGATCTCTACTCTGTTTTCTCTCCTGCTTTGTTATGCGCTGTTTCCTATCATTGCTATCTTTCGCTTCGCTTTGCTCAGATACCTTGTTCGATATACAGATTGCAGTATTTGCTTATCCTGGAAGTTACGTCTACTCTGATTTGATCGTCTGCTGTGTAAATTTGTCGTGGCATGAACGGATTGTATTGGATACGGTTTGCTCAGAACGGCTGGCTTGGTGGTGTCTACTCGATAAGAGAAACACCAAGCCTGGCTTAATGAGAGACGGAGAGAGAGAAAAAAGGTGTGGAGCTGGTTCTTGAGCATAAGTGTATAAATAGTTTCCTGTCCGTTAAGCATATTTTAAGAATATCACTTCTCATTGGCATTACATGCTCAGCTTTCCTCGATGTTTGACTGAGGCGACACCGAGGTATTTATTTGTTATGTGAGTCCTACGCCTTTGCTTGATTTTAACATTGCGTCAGACATTCCACCATCCGCGCTAGAGGGCCTTTCCCCCTCACCATAAGAAGTCTAGGTAGTTGGGTGACAAAGAAGCCCGAGTTTGATGTTGAGCGTGAGCCACAACAAAGAGAGGATGAGGTAGGTTGAGCGGAGCTGGGGCTGGACGCTAACCGGCAGTTTTGGGGGTTTGAGACTGGAGTGTCCAGAAGACGAGCGGGCGTACTGCGGGAAGCCAGCGCAGCCATGGGTTTCGTTCGACGATTCTAGAGGGAGTAGGATTGGGCGAGGCCCTCGAGGCAGCGTCTCTTGACAGATGTTGATGATGGACTTCTAGCCGCTGCTTGACGAAGGATATCACGATGACATCCCGTCTAGATTCTCGTGTTCTAACATTCTAATAGGAAATGCCCAAATGTAGTTACAAGGCTTCTATGCCCTCTTACATTCTAAACTTGGATGTTCTCGCCAACCGAATCCCGACTGCACTGTCACTCAGTTTCCGCCGGGAAGCAGCCATCTATCATACCAGAGCCTGGTAGTGCAATAGTCGAGTAAGGTGGATCAGGACGAGGTGGAATTTGGCATAGCCAAAGTGGCGGCAAGACGGTTTCCTCATGAACTCCACGATATGCTGAGCCTCCGACAGCTGAACTGTAGCCCCAGAGAAAGAAGCCTCTGGCTGAGAGGCATCGAGGCATCGAGGCATCGAAGCACACAATATACGGCACGCCCATAACTTTTCGACGGAGCAATTTGGAACCAACGGGCCAAGGGAGCTGCTTTTCATTGTCTTTTGCTCTCTGAGACAGCCGGCAGTCCATCGGCGGGGTCTTCTAACCTAGTGGCTTTGGCCTCTCACTCACCCCGCCCATGCCTAGACTCTAGACACAGTGAGAGAGTATTACTACGGTACTCTATGATCCGTCCAATCCCAAGATAGGGTGCGGTGTGTTGCGCGGGTTCCTGCAGGGCACACGATACGACGTCGAGGCGACACGACGTAACACCACATGTGGCTGGCCGCCGCCGCCGGAACGAAAAAGTCCAACCCAGCCCAACCCGAAGAGAACTGGACGGGGGAGACACACCCACTCTCTCTCTCTCTCTCCTTCTCTGGAAGTTTCTCTGCCCGTTCTTACCAGCGAATTCCCTTCTTTGTCCCATGCGGTCCTATTCTTACCCGCTATGCGTTTCAAAGCCGCTTCTGGTATCACGGACGGGAAGCTTGAGACACCATCGGTTAGTCATGGCCATATGGTAAATCTTTGACTTCCAACTCCTGCTTTACTCCACTTGAGCAACGGTTGACAACGATGCCGTTATGTTCGAACGTCGAGGCAATTCCTTTGTCTGTCTTTGACCTTTTGCCAGCCCCCCCCCCTCCTCCCTGGTGCTCCTGACTTCGAGTCCGTCTGTGGACCATGCCATCTAGGGGGTGGTCGAGTGTGTGTATGATGGATACCTACATTGGGCAAGTTGAAGGGAGGGTTGTATTTTCGGCTCCGTAGATGAAGCACCCCGTCCAGCCAGAGGCCCAGGCACGATGGTCTGGTTGCACTGCATGGCCCTCCGCTCTTTGGAGCTACTACATAGTCAACCGATGATCCTGCCCCATCCTTCGTTTCTTGTATCTGCCTGCTCATCCGCTTGTTGTGTTGGTGTTGTTGTCTTCCTTCCTGTGTGCGCCCATCTTGCGCCCGTTGCTCTGTCTGTTCTTCCACTCGCCCCCGTCGTCACTCACCCCGTCTGAGCGTCATCCTTTGCTTCACTTGCATCCTGTCATCCCTTGGCCTCTCTGCATGTCTTGACTGTGTCACAGGCGTGCTCGGACTGGCTCTACTTCTCTGTCAAAAAACTTTGGATTTCTTGTACTACTCTGGCAGTAGTAGATATATTCGCAAACCCAAGTCACTTACACGATCCGCAACGACCAACAATCTTTGCCTACAACCACTTTGTTTATACACATATATCCCGTTACAAATCACCATGAGGAACCCTACAACAATAACAACAACAGCGTGCCTGCTTGCGGCTAGCTTGCTTCCCTCACTTGCACGCGCAGCCTGCGAATGCGGGTATGCCACCAACATCACCGGCACCATGGAGGTCTTCACCGACCTCATCGAGACCGACTTCACCAAGGTCAAGAACATTACAAACAACACGGACTGGGCCCGTCAAGAGTTCAACAAGACAAACACAAACGCCCGCGGGCCCCTGGGAGAAAAGTTCATGACGGAAAACGTCGCTTCCGTCCACGAAGGGTCGAGCTCGTACGGGCTCAGCTCGACAAAGGCGGACGCCGGACTGCAGCTGCTCGTCGAGAGCGCCACGACGAACGGCCTAGTGCCGGGCGCGGAGGTCGACTCGGCGCGTCAGGATGTGCAGTACGGTTCTTTTAGGGCGATGATGAAGATTCCGGATGTTGCTGGGACGTGTGCTGCCTTCTTCTGGGTACGTTGCCATTACCCCCCCCCCCCCCCCATGTGCCCCTTTCCAACTGAAAGCAGGTTCACTAACACCAGGAACAGTATCACAACGACACACAAGAGATCGACATGGAGTTCCTCACTAGAGAATTCAACTCTTCAAACAACACCTACCCCGTCAACATCGTCCTCCAGTCCCGCGCCTCACTCGAAAAGGGCTACAACGCCGCCGGCACAGGCAACTTTTTCAAAGTCAACCTCGGCTTCGACCCGACCGCCAGCTTCCACGAGTACCGCATCGACTACCTCCCCAACGCCGTCACCTTTTACGCCGACGGCAAGATCCTGGGCTCCATGAACGGCAGCGCCGTGCCCACGGAGGGAGGGCACCTGATCCTCCAGCACTGGAGCAACGGCAACCCGTTCTGGTCGGGGGGCCCGCCTAAGCAGGACGCCATCTTGACGGTGGCGTCGGTCAGGGCTTACTTCAACTCGACGCTCGAGGCGCGGAAGGCCGACCACGAGGGCCGGTGCGCGGACCCGACGGCGCCGGACGCCGTGTGTATCATCCCGGACGCGCCCGACTTCTTCTTTACGAAGCAGACCAACATGACCAACAACCAGACCGTTTCTGGTACGCCCGGCTCGGGCGGAGGGGGTGGTGGCGGCGATGGTGGTGTCGCGGCTGCTGCTGGGACGGTGGAGGCGCCGTCGTGGTCTCTTGTCGTTGGCTTGTTTGTGTTGGGGATTTGGTTCATCTGATCTTTCTTCTCCTTCTTTTCATTACCGGCAGGTTGGGTCTGCTCGGTCTTTTCTTTTTCGGACAATGGGAAGCTTACGCACTCTCATTGTTTACCGGCATAGCATAAGGCGTTTAAGGGTGTTGTGTTTTGACCTGAGAAGGAGGGCAGGCCGTCATACGATCATGCTCTTCGTACATCAGATGATGTTGTTTCTCACCTACTTACGATGCCCACGAATGATATCCACTTTACGTTTCTTCATACCTATATTCTGTCATTTGAGGACTTGACCATCACGCTGTGATATGCCAAGGGACTTGGTTCCCCAAGTGAACCACCGTTCTCATGATGGGGCGGGTGTCGCCAAATGTGGGAGCGGCCTTTGACGCAAAAAAAGAAGCCGATAGATCGGATGACCAAGGAGTTCGTCGCAGAGAGGAACGTGTCTCTTCCATTCTCACCAACGACTTGCCAAAGAGGTTGAGACGTCAGCTAATATTGCAACACTTCTGAGACCACCAAGAGCCCAATAAGGCGAAATCGTCGTCGTTTCGCGCTAGGAAGTAAGCAATGGGTTTACCACATTTAGTCGAAAAGGCCCGTCATCTGACTCCAGCTTTTGACAGGCAGACGATCTAACCCACCGGCAGTCAAAAGAATGTCTCGCGATTCCCCAGGAAATCGCGTCTCCAAAAAACTGTTCCTTTGGAGGGGGATCAGCCGCCCGCACATGCATGCCCCTTTAGCCCACTCCATACCCCAAAAGAAGGCACATGGACAAGGAGGGATCGACGCCTAACTGGCCTCTCACCGTCCGCCTCGGAGGCTCCCGCAGCTGTTTGGTAGCGTCGCCGGGAGTTGGGGCGCAACCTTCATTAGGTAGTCTGTCGAGTGAGCTTGAAGTCTCTTCATCCATCCCGGGGGGGCCGGTGATCGTTCCTACACCCCACAAAGGGTTCGAGAAAAGAAGCCCGGGCCGAGACATTGTTACCCCGGGTTCTGTGGTTCTGACTTGCAGGATCGTGCAGATATTGGTAAGTTGGCTCGGGGTTGAGTGCCGTGCGTGCGTTGCAGATGAATATCTGGACGACTACCGATACATACCTCTTCGAGTCGAGCACACTGTCTACATCCGCCCTCACCCTCTCCTCTTGCTTATTTGTGACTTGGACGAAACTAGGCGTGAAAATAACTGACGCTGCTTTCTTACACTCCACCAGTTCTTGAAAACCAAAGCACAACACCTCACCCCAAACCACGAGGATGAGCCTTATGGGGGTCTGCCGGACGGAACGTGGAGACCGTCTCGTCCATAGAAAACAGGGCAAGACAACACGACCATTGCTAGTGGGGTCAAGAGGCGAACTAGTCCCGCCTATCCATGTCGACGATTCCGTCATATCCAGCCGTGCCAGCAAAGGGAGAGAGTCCAACACATCACACTTGCGCGTCGCGGTACGGGTACTGGGCTGTTGATACCAAGTTCGAGCCACCCAATAGTCACCTGTAGATCCTGTTGGAGGGCAGGGGGGGTCCCCAAAAGAAAACTTGCACATGGCCACCCTGGCTAGCTAGAACGTAGTCACGCTTGTTGACGTTCCAAGGTACAGTGCCCATCAAGCTTGAGACCTGACAGGACGGCCATCTTGGAGAATAAAAAGGGCTTGCATCGTCATTTCTTTGGGGGAAATAGCTTGAAGAACCCCTTGGCCTCCAGAGAAAACGCATAGAACAAAGCACAGCAACACATCAACGTAGAAAAAAAAGAAGAAGCCATGACGAGACCAACCCTCGACATCGTTCTCAAGAACAACACGGGCTCCGCCAACGCCTACGCCCACGTAACCGGCCTGGACCTCAACCGCAACAACGCCATCTTCCTCCTCCAAGCCGACGGCGTCACCGGCTACTACCCGAGTTCGCCCTCGGACATCCTCCAGGACGTCGGCGCCGACACCGCGATCCCGCTCGGCGCGCCGGGGTCGACCAAGAAGCTGACCATCCCCCAGATCGCCGGCGGTCGCATCTGGTTCTCCCGGGACGGCCCGCTCAAGTTCTTCCTGAACCCGGGCCCGGCCGTGGTGGAGCCCTCGGCGACTAACCCGGCGGACGCCAACTACAACCTCAACTGGGGCTTCTGCGAGTTCACCTTCAACAGCTTCCAGGTCTACGTCAACATCTCGTACGTCGACTTTGTCAGCATCCCCGTGTCCCTGACGCTCGAGAACGACGCCGGCACCGTCACCAACGTCCAAGGGTTCCCGAGCAACGCCCTCGACACCATCTGCGACAAGCTCAAGGCGCAGGATGCGGCCGACGGCGCGGGCTGGAGTAACCTCGTCGTGCGCACCGCAGACGGGTCCGCCAACCTGCGCGCCCTGAGCCCCAACTCGGGCATCGTCATGAACCAAAACCTCTTCAACGGGTACTACCAGCCCTACGTGGACGCCGTGTGGGACAAGTATCGCTCCGCCGACCTCACCGTCAACACGCAGGCCGAATGGGGCGACGTCGCGGGCCGCGTAGGCTCCGATAACCTCTTGACATTCGGCAACGTCGGCTCCTTTGCCCAGCCCGCCGCCCGCGACATCTTCAGCTGCAGCACGGGACCGTTTGGCGGGTACCCAAGCAACCAGGCCGAGATGGGGGCCATCGGCGCCCGCATCGCGGCGGCCTTTAACCGGTCGACGCTGCTCATCAACGACCGGCAGCCCGAGGGGGAGAGCGTGGCCAACTACTACAAGGACGTCCGGACGAACCACTACTCGCGCATCTGCCACGAGGTCAGCCCCGACGGCCGCGGCTACGCGTTTCCCTACGACGACGTCAGCTCGTCAAACGGCACCGACCAGTCCGGGTCGCTCTTCGACGGGAACCCGAAGCTTCTGACCGTTGGAATCGGCGGCGGCGACAGTACGACTGCTGCTGCTGCGACTGAGGCTGCGACAAAAGAGGCTGTAACTGCTCCTGCGGCGACGTCAGAAAAGCAACCGCAAAAGGAACTGTAAGTGATTGGCATCCGTATTTCGATGCAAGGCCCCTCCTCCTTGATAATTTGGAACTTTGTCTAACAAGTTCCCCCTCATTCATAGCCGCCGGAGCAATACCAAGAGTAAGAGGCAGAGGCTGTGGGCCCGTGTGAAATCCTTGGTGTAGGTCGATCGATTGATCGATTTTTGGATTGCATTTTGGCGTGGATATTCGTAGATACCAGACAGTTTGTGCGCATATGCAACCATCACATGTCACATATCATCATTCTTCCTTAATCAAATAACGAGCTTAAGATCCCAACCAGAACTTGCGCTCCGTATTGTGCGCTGTGTTGCCGGCGGCAATGCTCCGTATGTCTCTGCCTATGACAGTCGTTCGGGCTCCATCCAAGGCTCGATGGGGGAACACCAATCCTGGCGGCGTCATCGCTGTTGAAACTTGAACGAATAGTTGCTGTTTGTCTCAGACAACATCCAGGGCACCGTTGCTTTTTTCTGCAGTAGTAGACCAATGCAGCGGGAGGAAACGCAGCTTTTCGTCGACTCGGACCCGGTCTCTGGTGACGAGGCCTCCGAGAATACCCAATCAATTGTACAGAGCATAGACAGAAGAGCAGGCAGATACTTTGCATCCGTATGTCTCTTCTGCAGTGATACCTCCTCTGACAGCAGAAATGGTTCGAGAACCTGGACAGGACATGGTTTCGATTCAACCCTTTTTTCCCTCTGGAGCTGCGACAGGGAAGCGAACCCGACAGATTGCCAGATCACGGCGTGCCGCCCCCGGAAAGCGACCAGTCACCTTTCGGCGGGCACCGCAGACTGCAGAGTCGCAGAGGAAACTTGGAAGAAGCGAGGCGTGTGGGCGTGGCATGCAGGTCTGGGCCGCTGTCTCCCAGTCTCTCTGTTTCTCGTGGAGCCCACCGGAATTGGACGAAGAACGGGATTGGGAGAGACCGTTAGAAATCAGCATGCAGCCGGCAGCGGTAGGCTGTACTCGTACTAACTTCATAGAAAGGGCTGGGCTTTTGGCTGGGAAAACGGAGCTAAAACATTTTCAACCCTGGCTGAGCTCCGCTGGAAGCCCTATTCGATGCATGCCGCACGCGAGCCGCAGCCATTCCCGTCGGTGACATGGGCGAGACGTACGGATACTCGTACGGAGGGAGATTCGTACGTATGCTTTCACTTTGAAGGCACTCCATGGGTTCAAGTCTCGACTGGCGATAGGTGGCGACGAGTCACAAAGACCGTAATACGGCAGAGGATAATGCCGGAGCGAAAGGGGCGCAGACCGACGATCGATCGGGGACGGCCGTTGAAACGTTCCCGAGAGATTCGAGAAAGACGGAAAGGCGGCAATAGGGCCGCGGACCGCGGACGGATGGTTTGTAATTTGCTGCTCGACCGTTGGGACCGGTGACAAAATGTCTGAAAAAGATCAATAAAAATGCAATATGGATCAAACCTCGGCACCTCCCAGGGCTCCAGAAGACCCCAGGAGGCCCCAGTTCGGCGCTCACGAACTGTCCGTCACTGCAGTAGCTCCTCCGAGGGGTTCCAGTCCCGCGAAGCCCCCGGTCGGTCGTTTGTTCCGAAAGGGCCTAGACGCGGCCAAAAAGACGATGTGCAACAGTGCAAACCCGCGGATAGTGAAAGTGCTGCTGCTGGTCTGCTGCAAACCAGAAGATGACAGCTGCTGGTGCGGTGTGCCGGTGCCGCGGAGGGGAGGCGAATAAGGCGATAACGCACACACATCCCACTCTCAGGTCATCTCTCCGTCCTTACAGGAGGAGGAGGCCAGGCTTAGGCTCACTCTCACTCTCACTCTCACTCTCACTCTCACTCTCTCCTCAACTCTCCGTCTCCTCACTTACTCTCCCACATTTTTCACTCTCTCATCCTTCAGTCGTCCAGACCCTTTCGCGGCTCGCCGTACGGATACCTTCACACACAACAAGGCGTGCGTGTGTGTCTGTGTGTGCCACTTACACGCTCAATATCCAATTGCAGACTGCAGCCGTTGTCCCTCCTGATCGACCACATCAAGGAAACCTGCCACCCCTCCTCGCCGCCGCAGTCCGTCATCTCGCATTCTCGACCCCCAAAGGACCCGGGAGGATTCTCCCGTTGAGAGGATGTGACCGCCTTGTTTTTTTTTTTCTCATTCTTCCATCGGGCTGCCCGCGGTTTGCTCCCCAAATTAAATCTTCTGCCCGGTCGTCTTGGCCTCGCACCTCCCCGCTTCGATCGCCATTGCATAACGGAGTAGATCCAGTGTCATGATCTGATCTGACCATGGCACCCACATGAAGCGATCCATCTCATTACTCAGCTCTAACCTAACACTGGTCCCTTCTCAACTTCGCATCGTGGCTTTTTTCTTGTTGTTGGTCTTTTTCTTCTCGTCCTCACGGCTGCTCTGGGCGAGATACCAGTGTCTCCAGCATGGTATACTGCGGTAAGCCGTCGAAAGGCTGTTCCAATTGTCGTGAGCGTAAGATCAGGGTAAGTTCCCTATCCTTGGTGTAGATATTCCGCAACTCGTGCAGCTAGGTCTGCCCTCGTTGTTGCTTGCCAAAAGGCTCTCGTTTGGCCGCGAGTAGGCAACGTCTTCTCCAACGGCGGGAGAGTCCTCTGACTTTAGGCTAATGATGCCGCCAATAGTGTGATCAAAAAGAGCCCGGCTGTGGCCAGTGTGAGAAGCGACAGCAACAATGTCCTGGCTACCGAAACCTCGTCGACCTCATGTTCCGAGATGAGAGTTCCCACGTCATCAAGAAAGCCGCCAAAACGAAGGCAAGGGGCCGCTTAAAGAATGCACAGGCCTCGAGTGCCGGATCGTCTTCCGAAAATGTAGTAGCCAGCACCGACCCCGAGAGCTCCGATCCGAGTCCTGGAACGGCCGTGAAGACCGGCGTTCGGCGCCAATATCCACCTCGTCCCATGGATACCACAATGATGACCATCAGGCATCGGCCACGTCAGATCCAATGGTCTTCCTCCTCCTCCGATAGCGATGACGACGAAGACGGTCTATTGCCATCTTCTCCAGAAGATGGGCCCTGGTCGACGGCTCCGCAGGCAAGGCCTTTGTACTCTCTGTCGCCCTCATACCAGGAACGTGGCACGGCCTTCTTCTTTTCTCGCTATGTCTCCATGGACGAGAATGCCTGCCATCAGAACTATGACTTCATCTTTGATGTCTGGCGTCCTGCCAGCATGCTGCCCAGTCGACAAGCGGACGGCGTGATGGCGAGTGTTGCCGCTGTCGGCTTGGCCGGCCTTTCACACTTGACAATGTGTGCTGAAATGATGGACTGGTCCCGTCGGAGCTACGGTGCCGCTCTAAAAATGACAAACGATGCTCTGAGGGATCCGGTTGAGGCAGTCAAGGACACCACCATGTTGTCCATCCTCGTCTTGGGCACCTACGAAATGTTGAGCGGTCGTACGAACCAGACAGTGAGAGCATGGCAAAACCATCTCAACGGTGCCTCCGCTCTAGCCAAGATGCGGGGCCTCGGCCAGTTCAGAACCAGAGCAGGAGCACGAATGTTCATGATGCTGACGCAGATCGTCCTCATCAACTGTATGCAGAGAGACATGCCCATGCCGCAGTCTCTAATCGACCTCCGGAACCAGCTGGGTATGCTTTCGGGCGGAACTGATCCTGGCTGGCGATTGTCCGGCCCTATATACAAGGTCATGCAGTTGCGGTACGAAATCAACAGCGGGAAACTTAACCAGACGGCTGATATCATCAATCAACTGTCCAACGTCGATCAAGACTTCGCGGATGTCATTGCCGATTTGCCTGAAACATGGAGGTACAGATCCGTGAGGATTACGACTGCACACCCTGCCGTATTCGATGGCCATCGCTGTGATGTATATGCCACGCTAGGACTGGCTGCAACCTGGAACGGCGTCCGATCGATAAGAATGATGGTACACGAGACCATCCTTGGAGAGCTCTTCAAATGCTTCCAGGGTCAACACATCATGCTTTGGCCGTACGAAGCAAAATTGCAGCTGGCAAAGTCTGTCGAATTGTTGGAGAAACTTTGCGAAACAGTGTTGGCGAGTATTCCTCAACATTTCGGCGTCGTCAACTTCAGAGACGCCATGTTTGGAGGCGGCGGCTCAACGTCAGCCATTGTTCCAGCAACGAGATCACCGTCTCGAATTGTGCGGTCTCCTTCAATTTCTGCATCGTCGTCTTCGCCGTCGTCCGTGGCCGAGTCAGCGCCTAGCCCGAGGGTTTTCAATGGCCCAACTTTGCAAGACCCAACCTACGCAAAGGGCCGCAGTAACGATGCCGAGCGGTTCATGACTCTCGCCTCCGCGAGCAATACAATCGTGTGGCCGTTGTACTTGGTTGGCGTGTCATCATGTTGCACGCAAGTGGTCAAAGACTTTGTCGTCGACCGATTGAAAGCAATACTCGAAGAGTCGGGGTTGATGCAAGCTCATGGAGTGGCACTCATGGTTCGGGACAAAGAGGTGTATATACCGTGGTCTGATGTATCCTGGAACCGGATGCCACAGACACATATACCGTCAGACTTGATCGTGTAGAGCTGGAGAGCTAAGTGAGGCGTGGACGAATCGCTTGCTGCCTTTGTATCAATAGACATATACATAGATGGTGCGCAGATGATCCGGGTAGCCTTGAATGTGCAGTGAAATGGTCAAAAGGGGTATCATGTCTTTTCTTCGTCCCGTAGCCTTTAAACTATATCAGCGTCAATTCGGCCACGATAACTCACCAGTTATCGAAATTGCTGAATCCACCACTTTTGAACTTCTTCTTGGCCGGCTCTTCCCAAGTATCCAGGTCGGTCGCCCCCGTATCTATGGCAGTAGAGCCCTGCGACTTCAGATACTTGCCCACGCCAGCATCGGCACTCCCGCTGTCCACAGTACCGTCGGCTCGGATTCGCTTGCCCGTCCACGTTGTCTTGTCGTCTTCCGTGCCTCCACTCAATGCTATTGCCTGCCTCTTCTTTTCCAGATTATCGGTCTCGCTCTTTTCTTTGAGGAACTCTTGGAACGGATCCAGATAAACCACCACGTCTTTCATAACAATCTTGTTGAGGGGTCTGTCGGACCCGTCGGTAGGAACGTCTTCCATCTTGGAAAGCACGTCGAGTCCGCCAACAACCTTGCCAAATACAGTATGCTTGTTGTCCAGGTGCTTCGTTGGCCGATAGATGACAAAGAATTGGCTAGAGTTGGTATTCTTGCCTTTGTTTGCCATACTGAGGATGCCGCGGGCATCATGCGTCAAAGGTCCATCGAACTCGTCTTCAAAGTTCTTTCCCCAGATGCTAGTGCCGCCCTTGCCTGTTCCCGAAGGATCGCCTCCTTGGAGCATGAAGTTCTTAATGTTTCGGTGGAAGGTGACACCCTTATAGTAGCCCTTCTGGGCTAGCCTCGTAAAGTTCCATACCGCGCGAGGTGCGTATTCGGGATACAGTTCGATGTTGAGGTCGCCCAAGTTTGTCTCTATACGAACATATCCTCTGATCTTGACCCGTTTCGGCTTGAGCATGTACTCTTCGTCAGTCAAGAGTGCCCGCTCGCCACTTGTCTCGGGCGTGAGGCCTGTGCTGGTGAAACTGGCGGCAGCTCTGCCATTGGTGTAGACCGCAGCATTTGATGGGATCTTCTTCTCCATGACCATGGACTTCCTTTGTGCTGCCGACACCGCCTTCACAACGGCACCAGAAGAGCGGTTGACGTCGCCTCCATCGCGTTCCTTCCGCGCTTTCTCGACAGCCTCCTTTGCTCGTAGAACCTTGTCACCGATCCTGCCGAGCGCATCAATGTTGACGTTACCATTTTTCCGCTCCTCCTCTTGCTCCTTGCTTAGGATAGCATCCTCACCATCCTTGAGGTACTTGAACTGACTCAAGTCTCTGCTGGCTGCGTTCTGGGGGTCCTGCAAGGTAATGATATCCGCTCTTGTGAACTTTTCATCGTCAACGAGATCCTGCCAGTTCTTTGCCTTGATATTCATTCGTTCGACGGTCTCCCAGGCGAAGACGTTTGCATAGGTTCCGTGTCGAATCGCAACAATGTGGGTGTTGTCAGTGAAGACCTTGAAGGTGACAGGATCGATCAGATCGCCTTGGCCATCGCTTAAGCCTGCGCTCCTCGAGTCGGTCTCGGCGTTTCTTGAAAAGTTGAGCTTGATCAGGTCTTTGGCGTTCAATGGCTCGCCATTGACAGGATTTGTGTTGTGTTTGTCCAGCCATGAGCTGATGATTTCGACGTCGAAAATGGTTCCATCCTTGGTGCAGACCGGGTTCTTGAAGGGCTGGAGGCTGGCGGCGCAAAAGTTGAAGGGCAACTTGCGAAAGGTGCCTCGTGACCGCGCATTGACATTGGCGCCGGCGCTGGCAGAGTAGGCATCCGACGATGACCACTCGGAATGGGTGATGTAGAGTTTGTCCGTGTTCTTGCCCATTATTGCCGTCGAAGGGTGTTGGGTAGTAGGCAGAGTTGGACGAGGCTGACAGACTTATGATGGCGAAATCGCGATGTGGAAGAGGTGCGTGTGTCGTCGAAGCCTCGCCATACAATATTCGCGGAACCCAAAATCGAGCGAATCTGAGTCGTGGAAACGCGACAGGAATCTTCACCAGTGATCGTGCAGGAGCGACGACTAGCGACACCCTGGCACGGCGATTCCCGCCATCGGCCCCAGCGGGGTAGCTGCCGTGCGGCGACACGGGCGTGACGGGGTTGCACCTTCTATGGGGCTGAGGCAACCTGTCCTCCCTACCTTACAGGTAGGCTCCCTTACCTTCCGGTACCTAAGCTACTTAGTCTTAGGGATACCTACCTCTAAACGCCGGAAAAAGGTACCTACGTTTCAACTAGTAGCTCAGTGTAGAATCCAGTAGCGCAAGGTTCCTAGATGTACTGGCCAATGAAACTCTCCAAGTATTGGAAGTTCCAGCGGTAGGCGTACGTACCTCGGAGCTTGGCGCGCACCTCCCTCACGCTGCAAGTTTCGCGCAAGGTCCGTTTCCTGTCTGCCAGCCTGGCACTGACAGACTTCCATCTGCTACAAGCTCCCTTCGACACTGTCTCCGTGCAACGTATCCGAATTGGCCGGATTTGCTGATTTCCACGATCTGCCAGCGCCATTTTTCCAACGGTACCCAAGTCGCATGCCCTCTTTCGGTTCGGCATGCTATACGCGATCATCGTCTTAGCAACATCGTCGTAGATAGAGCTGGTTGGAGCTTGACACCTTAGGCGAGCATCACGAAGCGATCGCCTTCTCCCGACTTCTAGTCTACCAAACCTTAAATACCTACTGTCCGTCGCAGTCTTCCTACCTACGGTAGCTGTCCTCAAGATGAAGGCCTGGCTCTATGCCTCCGTCCTGGGCATGTCCCTCTGGGCGGCTAACGCTCTAGAGGTGAAGATGGTAAGACTCCTATCCCGAAGCAACGATTGCGATATACCTACTGTAGTGCAATTGGAAGCTAATGTAACTCCGCTCGCCCAGGACCAAACGGAGGAAAACAGACAGAGATGCTCAGGTAATCCCGATAGTGTCTAGAGAGCTAGATGTTCTATTCGATACGATGCTGATAAAGGTTCAACGCAGGCATGTACAGTCGCAGCGCTTGGGGCGGACCTGTCGACCCTTACATCAACGTCATGTTTATCCCGAAGGAAGCGGCAGCGGACCAGGACCCTACCGTGAGCTTGGTCATCTTCGAGTGGAAAGATGAGGACTTGATCGGCGTTCGCGAGACCCCTGATGCAGAGAATGTAAGATGCCCTCGGAGGACTGGCTCGAGAACAACTATAACGGGTGACTGACACTCCATTTCATACAGAAAATTGGTATTTGCCAGGAGGCATTCGTCAAGAAGAACTACTGCAACGAGACGGACATTGGCAAGTTCATCATCGATAAGGAAGCCACAACCAAGTCGAAGAGCATTATCGAAACGAAAGCCATTCACCTCAAGGAGCCCCAGAGCACCAAATACATGATCAAGAAGACAGGCTATTACTGCGTCCTAACCGATAAGTTCACTGCGGGCGAGTTCACTGCTGTTGTGGAGTTCCGTAATGCCTACGGCGAGCTGCCCGCGACTCAAATCCCGAAGCTGCCTTTTTACGGAGGAATCACCATCCTCTATGCTTTAGTTGCCGTATTCTGGGGCTTTTTGTACTATCAGCACCGCCATGATATTCGTAAGTCAGAAGGCGCAGTGCAATTGTTACCCGCCTAATTAACAATCACAGTACCGGTCCAGAACTACATTACGGCCATCATCATCTTCCTAGTTGTGGAGATGCTCTTGACATGGGGCTTCTATGGTGAGACTCCCTTTCCTCGGTTGCAAGAGATTAAATTGACCCCAAACAGACTACCTCAACCGAAATGGTGCAAACATTGGCTCCAAGGTGCTGCTGGTAATAGTAGCCATCTTGAACGCCGCTCGCAACTCATTCTCTTTCTTCCTACTGCTCATTGTCTGCATGGGCTACGGTGTTGTAAAACACACGCTTGGGCGAACCATGATCTGGGTCCGCTGGCTTGCGATTGCCCACTTCGTCTTCGGGCTCGTGTATGCGATCACCAGCTTGTTGATTACCCCAGACGCTGCTGGTAAGCCGTCATAGCTTTACATATTCCAAATGATTCGGAATGTTGTGGACTAACATAGTATAGGGCCTTTCGTGCTTCTCATCGTCCTCCCTCTTGCAGGTACACTTACCGGATTCTACATCTGGACACTGAACTCCCTGAACTTCACGCTCAAGGATCTGCGCGAGCGCAAGCAGCATGCAAAGGAAGCCATGTACAAGAAGCTATGGTGGTGTATCCTCCTCAGCATTTTCGTCATCTTCGGCTTTTTCTTCTTCAACAGCTTCAGCTTCGCGTCAGTCAGCGACCCCGACTACGTTCCCTTCCACTGGAAGTCGAGGTGGTTCATCCTCGATGGATGGCTGAATCTTGTCTACTTCGCCGACGTGGCATTCATTGCCTATGTCTGGAGACCGACGGCGAACAACCGACGCTTCGCCATGAGTGACGAAATTGCACAAGACGATGATGGCACGTTCACTATGGCTGATATTGGCGGCGTTGATTCGGACGATGACGACGAGGAAGCCCAGTTGGGCAAGAACAACACGACTGCTCCATCAACCACTTCTGGCCACGGTGGCTCATCGGCCGCACCGGCGAGCATGCCCCAACCCCAGCCACAAAGACACATTCCTCGTGAGTCTTTGGATGGAGAGACCATCTTCGCAGTGGGAGAAGATGGCGATAGGTTCTCGGATGATGACTCTGATGAGGAAGACGCCAAGCTTGTAAGCAAGAAATAGACGGTGGGCATTTTTGGGTTTCCGGGCATTAGGCAAAAGCAGCAATTGCGTAATTGCAGTGTAAAGTATGCACTTCAAGGGCGGCGTTGGCGTAGTTCACTCGGTTTCCGTCATTCGGGAGAGAAACTTTTTTGTCATGTAGAGGTGGGAGGTACCACATTGTCAATCATATGATCGCAAATAATGCTCATGAGTCTGCTCTCGTTTGGTATCATCTTACAAGCGGTTCCTAAAAGTACACGACAATTCTTACACATCGCCGCCAAAGCCGACGGGACGCCTCTTTCCATCGTTCTCAGGCAAGATGGCCATGGCCTTGTATACCTTACCCATCCCACCAGGGCCACGGTCGACAAGACGCTTCCAAGCACCCTCAATGGCCTGCGCCTTATCGGTGGCCGCCTTGGCCTTGACTTGCTTGATCAAGACCTCGGCACGCTCTTTGATGCCCATCTGACCCAGGAATGCGCCCTGGTCGACGGGCCCGTGGACCTCGACACCCTCACTCGCGATCATCGCTGCCTCGGCGATGGCGGTGAAGTCGACGTCGGCGCTCAGGTCGACGAGGCCCGGCTCCGAGAAGGGACTGACGCGTCGGTGGCGGCGGATGCCTCTCAGGGAGTTGATGGGGACGGTATCGGACGTGCCGTAATCCAGGATCAGTGCCGCGCCGGAGGGCCGGGCTTTAGGGTGCTGCTTTGAGCCGCCGATACGGCTGGCAAAGTCGGCGGCGTAAATGGAGGCGTCGGGGCAGATCTCGGCTACGGCGTCCGGGACGGTGGCTTTGAGGCGGCGGTAGCGGGATGAGGTCTCAGGGACGTAGCGCGAGTGGCGGGTTGAGCTTGTGGCGAGCGTCATTTGGAAGTCGGGGATCGGGTCGCCCTGTTCTGATTTCGGTATGTTCATTGTTGCGTGGGTTGCGTCTGGCGGGGTCGGTGAGACGAGCATCTCGCGCCATTCGATCTTGGGCCCTTCAGCTTCACGAGGGGGGGTTCTCGGGGTGGGTTGTCCCGGTATGGGTTCTTTGGGTGCGGGAGGGGGAACTTTGACGGCTTGAAAGGCGTGGATGGGGAGCGCATCGAAGAACTCGTGTGCCACTATCAGGGGCATTTTCTCGGGGCCTGGGGATAGTGTCAGTCTTGATAACTCTCCCAAAAAGGTCACAGATTTCCCATGCTTACTTTGAGGAATGGACTTGATGGTCTCGGTCCAGACGATGGGCAAGTTGGTACGCTTGCAAACGCTGTGATATCCAACTTTGGATTCGGTCATTGGCGCATCGGGGCCGCAAAGGAGGTTCTTCTGCGCCTCGCGGAGCTGAGGGCTGGCCTCCACCATGTAGATGGCGTCGATGCTTTGCGCGAAACCCTTGAAATTCTGCATCGTCTGCACGTGGGAATGTTAGCCGTGAACTGTTACCCTGCCAGAGGGACCCAAGTCTACTTACACGAAGCATATCGTCCATTAACGTACCGCGTCCGGGGCCGACCTCCATGATCTCGACGCCCTTGCTGGGCTTGCCCTGGCTCAACCACTCTGCGACGAACCAGATACCAATCAGCTCGCCAAATATCTGGGAAATCTCGGGCGACGTGACGAAGTCTCCTTTTAAGCCGAATTGGTCTCTGTTCTCTTCGGCCAGACCCGTATAGTATCCGTCAATATCGCCGGTTAGACACATGCGCATGTAGCTCGCGAGGGGAATGGGACCGGTCATCTATGGCATGATTACGTTAGAAAACAGCAATTGAGTGGCCGGGAGATCGTGGGCGCATACTGAGATAGCCTCGGCCAGCTGTTTCGCCAACGGCGTGGACCATTTCCTCTCCTCCCCGTCCCGCCTCGATACCGTGTTTGAGAAGCATCTTGAAGCATGCGCTCTGCTGGTCCGCTGCGCAGCGCGGGATATGGCAGCGCCTTGTAGGCCACCCAGCAAAGCTCTTTGACGAGACAATCGCTGCATCTTTGCTTATTTCCACGTTTTGTGCGGTCTTCTCTATTCTGTGTAGCTTCCTAGACTTCAAATCATGTGCGGGTTGTCGGGATCATCGCGGGATTCCTCAAGAAATGTAGACGAGTCCTTGGTAGCACATGCGCATGTGTAACCACAATTCGACAAAAGGAATTATCGTTTTAGGCGAGGCAGGAAGACCTTGTATGATGCTCGACTCGTTTGCTTCGTTCGTTCGTTTCGTTTTCGGCTTCGGGACGTGAGAGTTTCCAGTGACAAGTCGGGGTGCAGGAGAAGCTTCCGGAGCTTTGTCTTCAAGCCAAACTTTTGGGGTACGATAAGATAAGGGGACTACCTTAAATGCTCCGGTAAAGCTTTGGTTGACTTGCATGAGCTCCCGTCGCCAGGTCTCCGAGAAAAAACAAAAGAATGGGACAAAGTCGGAGCAGGGCAGCCGCCGACTCGCCGCGCCTGATCCCTGCGTCACTGCACCACCTAAACGGCAGCGCGATTACAAGCTCGTGGACTATTCCTAGGTTGCATACTGATACCTTCAAACCACAACGAGACTGCTACACTCAAGTCACCCGACAAACCCCTGGAGGACGAAGACTCAGGACCAATCAACATCACATGTCTTCTTAAGTAAAAGGAGCTTTTCTATCTGTTACGACCAACCCACATTCACGCCGACAATGGCAAGCAACGCCAAGTCGAGGTGGGCAGATAGCGAGGAGGACGCAGCCCTGGAAGCAAAACTGAAGCGAGAAAAGGAGGAGAAGAAGCGTCTGAAAGCCGAAAAAGCGCGCAAAGCAGCCGAGGCGGAACGATTGGCGCAGCAGCCGAGGGCGGCGAGGAGCAGCAATGGCACCGAGAACAACAACAGCAGCGACGGCGACGACGACAGTCACAACACACGGCCAGCGAAACGGCGCAAGTTCACTCCCGACGCGGAAGACAGGACAGCAGCCAACGGCGATGGTGGCGCTGCACCGCCAGATGCCAAAGAGAGCGCGGCGAAGCTCATGCGCTTCCCCGTCGGCCACTGGAGTAAGTGCCGGAGCGTGGAGAACTACGACAAGCTCAACGATATCGAGGAGGGTACATACGGCTGGGTGTCGCGGGCCAAGGAAGCTTCTAGCGGCAAGGTCGTTGCGCTCAAGAGGTTGAAGATTGAACCGAGTGATCGCAATGGGCTGCCGGTGACGGGGTTGAGGGAGATACAGATCCTGCGAGATTGCAGCCATCGCAATATCGTCAATCTCGAGGAGGTTGTGGTGGGAGACGACACTTCAAAGATTGAAAAGTATGTGGATCAATCTCTTTACCAACCTGGTTTCTTGTTGTGGCATTGCTAACAACAAAGCTGCAGCATCTTTCTAGTACTAGAATTCGTCGAACACGACCTCAAGAGCATCCTAGAAGACATGCCCGAACCCTTCCTCCTCTCCGAAGTCAAAACCCTCCTCCGCCAACTCACCGCCGGCGTCGCCTACCTCCACGACAACTGGATCCTCCACCGCGACCTCAAAACCTCGAACCTCTTACTCAACAACCGCGGCCAGCTCAAGATTGCAGACTTTGGCATGGCGCGGTACGTCGGCGACCCAAGCCCGAAGCTGACCCAGCTCGTCGTGACGCTGTGGTACCGCTCGCCCGAGCTGCTCCTCGGCGCCAAGGGTTACGGTAAAGCCGTCGACATGTGGAGCGTGGGCTGCATCGTTGGCGAGCTCCTGACGCGGGAGCCGCTGCTGCAGGGCACCAACGAAGTCGACCAGGTGACCAAGATCTTTGAGCTCTGCGGCGTGCCGACGCAGGAGACGTGGCCCTCGTTCCGGAGCCTGCCGAATGCGCGGTCGTTGCGGTTTCCAAAGACGCCCAACGCGACGGGGTCCATGATACGGACAAAGTTTACGACGCTGACGAATGCTGGGTGTAAGTTGCTCAACGACCTGCTCTCGTTGAACCCGGATTCGAGGCCGTCGGCCAAGGAGATGTTGGAGCACAAATATTTCAGGGAAGATCCGAAGCCCAAGAAGGAGGGCATGTTTCCAACGTTCCCCAGTAAAGCTGGCCAGGAGAAGAGGCGAAGACATGAACCGAATGCTCCCGTGCGTGGGCAGAATGCGGCAGACCTGAGTGACGTCGACTTTAGCGGCATCTTCCAGGGCAGAGATAAGGAAGAGAAGGGTGGCGGATTCTCACTTAGGATGGTGTAGAAGAGTTGATAGTTCATACGGCCATGCTATCAGCCAGTATCATCAATTAAGCTATATATCAAGATAACACTCATAAACGTCCTGAGTTTACCTATATGCGGAGTCATATTTTGCCCGACCATGCTTCGACACTAAACGCCGCCCTTTGTGTTGTGTAAAATGACCACCGTAAATGATTACCGCTGGACTCTTGTTCCTCGCTCTTGTTAGGCCCCCAAAGCAACTAGATATTCAAATATTACAGATGAAATTTTTTTGTCATTATAGAACATGTCATTAAAACATGCCCACTCCCGCCACAAACCATGTGAAACTGGCCACCGTGACGATGCTCATACCGACAGCCATGCCGAGAGCCTTGCTATCGAGACCAGACGCAGCAGAGCACGTTGCGCAGTTCCACTCGTTCAGGGGCTTGTATTCTTGAGCCTTGTACATGCCGAACTTGAAGCTGCTGGAAACGTCCAGATAGCCAGGCTGAGCGGTAGCACTGATGCTCGATTCCGCGTCGTAAATAACAAGAGTGTACTCGTCGTTTCGCAGCGGCGCTGAGGGGTCGGTCGCCTGCACGCTCGAATCCCAGGTAAAGGAGGCGGGCTGAGCAAAAGTCATGTTCTGTGTCAATGTCCAGGTCTGGGCCATGGAAGAGCACGAAACAAGGACATCAACGGCTGTAGGAGAGGCCTGAAGGTCTGTGTAGTTCCATCCCCAGGTGACGAAGTCTCCAATTTTGTAGAGGTTGATAGACTGGGCCGTGGCCGCTGGCGTGACCATGGTAATGCCACCAGCCGGGTCTGTGTCGGCGAAAGAGGTCGCCTTGGACTTGCTGGTGCCGGTCTTGGTGCCAGTGCCCTTCTCAGTGCCTGTAGGAAGCTTTGCGGTGTTGAGGTTGGTGGTCTTCGCGCCGCCAGTGTTCGTCTCTTGTGCCGTTCCTGTTGCCGATGCTGTGGCCCCAGTCTTAGCATTTGCGGTCTGGGTTGCGGCGGCTGCTGAGTAGAGTTAGCCATAGAGGTTCACAAACACAATGTGACAACGGGAGGGTCCCGGGGAAACGTAGCACGACATACCAGTTGAGGATTCATCATTTTGCCGCACAACCAGGGCATCGACATCTGGAAGCCACTTGGGCCAGGCGGAGGCCAGAGGAGTAAAGACGGCAAGGCCGAGAGCGAGAGACTGAACGACCTTCATTTTGACGTGGGAGGAAGTAGATTCTTGGTGAAATTTGCGAGGGGGTGTTGAAGATGAAGACGAGGTTCCTAGCGGGAGGACGTCGTCGAGGCCTTCAAAAGTAACCAAATTAGGTCAACAAGCGAGTGCAGTCAGTCGAGAAGGGCGTCCTTGATGCCTTTCGATATTCGGTATCGAGTTGTCGTGGCTGAGATGGTGTTGGATCGTGGCCACCCCTATTTTCGCACGGTAAATTCGCAATAACAAAACCCGGGGGTTGTCGTTGGGTTGTTGACCTCGAGTAATTCAGGAGCTCGGGAGACTTGTGTTTGGTTTGTGAATTCCTCCTCTTTCAATAAACGACCATAAAACGAGCGGGTTGAATCAAGCGAGTGTCGATATTTCGAATTAAACAGCAAAAAAGCGGACGTGAAGAAAGGGCGTTTGAATTGCTGCTGGGAAGCAAATCACATCAGGTTGGGAGGAAAGAGGAGTCGACCAGGAGAGGGAGGAAGTAGAGTACTAGGGGCACCAGCAGACAGGCTAACTAAGAAGGCGCTGGAATGGGAGGAGAGATTTCGGGGCGGGTTCAACAGGAGGGAACGTGGATGGGGCTCCGATTGATTAGGTTTGGTGGATCCACAGCAACCAAGGCCCATCCCCCGAATGTCCAAGTGACTCTCCGGGGAGAAGGGGGGGAATTCCCAGCGTCTCTTCGAAGCTCCAGGGGAAGTTTGGCCCTTTGGGTGGTGGCCCAGCGGTGCGAGTTTGGCTAAGGCGCGTTAAGGTAGTGACGGAATCATGGCACGAGCAAGGTCGTAATCCGTATGAACGAAAAAAATAACAATAAAAATGGGAATGCAGGGCAACGCGATGCAGTAGGGTACCTAGGGAACAGGGGCGAAGCCTGTTAGACCACACACCAATGCATTGAAAAAAATGGGGTGGCACAGCACAGCCCGGGCTGAGAAGAGGACATCGGACCAAGTCAGCAAGGGAATCCAGCCAAACAGAGGGCTGGAAACAATATTGTCGGCCGGGGCATCCAATGCAGAAAAAATAAACCTGCATACCTACGGAATACATCTAGAGGCACGAGAGGATAGGTTGTGACAAAGTCACAATAGACAATGGTCAGGCACAGAAACAGCCCGGCCTTCTAACTTCTTATGCCACCTCACCCAACAGCAATGAGCCAACCGCCAACCGCCATATTCCAACCGTCTTCCAGTCTCTTTCTCTCTTTCTACGCAGTACCAGTACCTACCTCCTTGCACTAAGGATCTTTAGTTCTACCGCTTAGCGTATCGACATGCCGTAGGCCTTCCTCGGCTTGCATCCCCGCCACCCCAAAGCGTTGGTCCCGACCTCTTTTTTTTTCTTTCAGCTCAAGAGCGAGGCCTACTGGCAAGTACTCAGGAAGACCTCAGTTTGTATGCATGGCAATTGGAAGAGTCCGAACCGTGTTATACAATACATCAATGCAAGGCGTATGGGTAATCAGAGCATATCCAAGATTCATATACCTACCTTAAGGTACCTTAGAAAGGAAGGAACGGACGTGAGCGTCACTGACTTGGAGGTTGGCCGCTGGCGACCTGGTGGTGCATCGGGTTGAGCAGGTGGGATCCACCCGGCACATCGTATTCCTTCCCCCTCGTGTTGACATCCTCTAAAAATAATTACTCTGGGACACGCGCCTCCACATCTTCAATCAATCATGAGACTGAGGCGAGACCGATAGCCAGCCGCTTATATCCGTTCATGATGATTTGCAGCCATTGCGGTATCGCATTCTGATGAATGATTTCTTCTGAATAATCAGACAGCACATCTACCTGAACACATGCCCGAGACTCCAAGCCGCTATAGCCATCGCCACCCTCAATGTGAGGTGAGCATCCCGTCGGATCTCCTCACGGGTTCCCCAACCCCCGACCCGAGTAGGTAACAAAGCCACCAACAGAAAATTCCGTCGTGTTGTCCAGCAGGCTGTGTTAAGCCAGCTTGGGTTTTCACAAGCATAGCCAAGCCGTCTAGCTACATACACAAGGCCATGAGGGAGTCATCGAGAGGCTCTCCGCCTCTCACAGTTACGGACCTTAACATGCTGGTGGCTCGTAACACCACGTAAGAGTTACCTCCGCTCAGCCCGAAATCCCGTAGGTACCGACTATGCATATCCGTACACAGTAGTCAGTACACAGTACAGAGAAATGAGGACTTGGAATAAGGTAGTCAGCGTTCGCTGCTTGGCCTCGGTGATGCAGGGTCGCAGGGTCTTGGCCCGCTTTGCATCAATTCTCAGCAGGTTTTTGCGTGCACATCATGCCTACACAGAGTCAATTTGCCGTGCCAATCTTTCGTCCTTGCTGGACCGTTTTCGTGCATGCGACCGAGCGAGCCTGCAAGTTCTGCATTAATAATTATTAGTGGCATACATTCCGACTAAATGCAAACTTCTCCCGTCCCGCTGGGATCGACGTTCAAAGTCTGGATGCCCATGTCGTGATCCCTGGGACGGGTGCTACAATCGACCGGGAGTTCCCAGCTTCGTGCGGCGAACGGTTCCGTCGTTGAAACCGTCTCTTTTTGGCGGAACCTCACCAAGAAACTGACTGCACCAGTTATTCAGTCAATCGCTCCAATGTATCAAGCAGAGCCCAATCGTGCCAATGTGGGTGCTTCTTCAAACCCGTCCCTGTACTCCGAGACATAGAGAGGTTCAGAAGATGGCACAAGGTGATGAGTTATCAAGACCTTGCCTGATGATGAGTTGATACAACTGGTTCTAGGACATTTCGTATGCTAAGGCAGCTTTGGCTCCGTCAATTAAACTGAGCATCCCTCCACATAACTGGGAGCCACCACGCCATCAACAACGATCCGTTCCTCGTCTAATTTGGATATACATGCCAGTCAATATCGCCGTCACAAAACCAACCCTTCCATACTTGACTAGCTTTCGATGCATATCAGTATAGCCTCTAGCAAAGGCAACGGTGTTTAACAAGTCAAGGCTCTTGTACGGTGCCAGGGTTTTGCGTCTGTACTGCTTCGGAATTTTTCCAGTCGTGTTCGTGACTGTAAACTTCAAGAACCAGAGTATCGCTACAATGGCTCTCTCGCCAGACCCAGGGGCCCCTTCATTGTGTTGTGTCCAGTCAAGGTGCTTCCGTTCTCCGACATTGAGTTTGAGTAACAAGGGACGAGGTTCGGACGACTCGAGACTTCCCGCCGGATGACGTGCCGCCTCCAGGGACCACCGGCAGTCCTTCTCTCATCCCCGGGAACTGCTGACCTGGATGGATGCTGGATTGCACTTCAACTCACCCAACGATGGGCAGATGAGTGGAGCACGAGCCACCACCTTGGGTTCGATGAAGAGAACGAACTGCCTGAGGTGTGCGCCACAGTCTGTTCTTATCGATAAGATGATAAGGAAGGACCCACAGACACTGTGGCGCCCTCCCCGGCAGGCACCCCAAGTACCTATGTACCGCTCTCTTGGTGCCTGCCTCACCTGCACCTGTCCGTCCGCGACTACCTCAGCATCGCGCGCCAGAATTATTTCATCAACTCGAAAATTCTACTGACCTTGGTCAATTGGCTTCGAGGAGTATACAGAAGCTATGGCGTCTACAAATGATTCCATGGTCTCCATCGACCGGATTTATCTGGACACCCTCATCAGAAGGTAAGACCTTCCATGCAAGTTGTACCTAGCTCGCGCTAGCAACCGAGCCACTCCCGGCACGACCTACGAAGAATACCTCACGACGAAGGCTAATTACTCGAACAGGGCTCAATTAGTATGTCTTACACGACTGTCCATCCTTCTTCTCTTCCTTCATCCTTGTAAGGATCGCTGACATAGCCTGCTTCAAGAACGCCGACAATGATCCTAACTCGAGTTACCTCACCGTTACGATTACCCGCGCCGAGCATGACATCCTTGTGAAAAAGGCCCGAGAATTCGGTATGCACACAGAATATACGATGCGCAACTTCTTTTGGGCTTCAAAGTCCCGGTCGTTCTCTAGTTACTGACTTCTCAATAGCAAACTTGCGTCGCAACCTCATGCGAGGTGGTGTAACGGAAGCTACCCTTGCTGTAAGTTGAGGTCTCCACCTTTGACCCCAGTTGACGATCCCAGCTAAGCAATGAGCTTCTAGGTATTGACCTGTGACGAGTCCAACTATCAAGAGGATAATGTTGGAGAGCAGACCACTTCACCATCCGAGGCTCCTCAGAACGAGACTCAACGCCCAGTCAGCCAGCCACGCGTGAAGGCGGCCACGGCTACGCGGGGAAACCAAATCTCAAGCCGACCTACGATTCAGCAACCCGTCAAGCATGAGTGGGCTGAGGAGGAGCCTGTCACCCTCGATGAATCTGAGGCGACGATTTCTCCCGTTGATCCTGAGCCTAAGCCTGAACATGGGTTTGGGAATCAAAATGATGCCCAGTTGCCCATGCGGCCTCAGTTCGAGCGCTTGGCCACCAGGACCATCTTCATCTCGAACCTCGCCGAAGGCACAACTCACGCTGATATCGTTGATGTTGTTCGTGGTGGTCAGCTTCTGGACATCTTCATAAGACCCCACGACCGGAATGCTCATGTGTCTTTCCTACATGGCACGGACGCAGCGGCCTTCCTTGAGCATACCCGGCGCCATGATCTGTACATCAGGCAGAAGAGAGTAAGCTACGCCGTTCAGTTTCCAGCGTCATGTGTGACTGATGACAATAACAGGTTGATGTTCGATGGGCTGATCGACACTTCAATTTGCCCGGTCATGTTGCGAGCAAGCTCGGCACTGGTGCTACTCGCAATCTCATCATTCGGCGATGCGACCCGAAGCTCACTGAGGAGGAGATCCGCGATGACATGGAGCACATCCACAACTTGATTGTCATCGCTGTCAGTTTCCGTGGTGGAAGCTGCTACATCAGCACGAACTCAGTGCACAATGCCATGTTTGCGCGGACCTGCATGATGAGTCGATTGTGAGTCGTACTCTTCGTTGGATATAATTGCCCTAGAAACTTACACGTCAGCAGCAAATACAAGGGATCTAGGATCGAGTGGGGTGTCGATGAGTGTGCGCAGCCCTTGCCAGCCGAACCTCAGCGAATCCAGACTCAAGTACCCCCGAACAGACGCCCAATGAATCCTATGGCCAACCGTTTCGAGCTTTTGAAGTTAGACAAGGCTGAGGAGGACGAGGAAAACATTCGGCCGGAGTTTCACACCAGCTCCCGGCTGAAGATTGTGGTTTGATGATGAATAACGAAGTCCGGATTCCGTACGATTCCCAGCAGACTTGAGATTGGGGGCGAAGTTTGACAGCCCCCTGGTATATATGTTGGTCGTTCGAGCCTTTGAGTCTTTGTTTTGTTGGTATTTTGGGGGAAAAGTCCGCAATGTTTCTTGGCGGGAGGGCAGTAAGGAGTTCTAGAGATACCCTACGCCTTGAGTGTGTTTGCCATTTTATTACAGGACGCGTTGTCCGCCAGTTTTCGATTCCATCTGTGAAGACGGAGTAGACCTCTGACCAATTCACAGTATGGTCGATTCTTTAGCATCAATGAAAGCATCGATTAGCGAAGTACCACTCGTGACTGTTGCACCTCTGCCTACTTCCTATATAACAGTGGGACGTCTCAGTAGAAGGCTATTCAGTCTACTCCTCTTTCCTGGTCTGATGATGAATCGCCACAGTTGGAGGTCTCTTGCGTTCTCGGTTTCTCATAGTTGATGGTCTCTGAGTCTACGTGATGTCTGATCTGCTATGACAGAAAAGGCACCGGCTTGGCTCTTCATGAGTACAGGACCGACGCCTCAATAGGTAGGTTCGAATCCTGTACCGAGCTCCCTTCCTAAGATGAATTCCCTGTGTATTCCATGGCTAGATGGTATATAGGCCACAGGTTCGAAGGAGTGAGCATCTCCCCAGCCCTATCCGACTCGGCTGGGGCCACGTAGCCAGGTGGTTAAACTGGTAGAAGAAACTGGGACGCCGGTTTTTCGTAGGCATGGGGTTCAACACCCCATGACCGAGCTTTTTTTTTTTGGTCAAATTGTCCATGTTTTTTATATGCTGGCCCAGCCTGCTGTTCTGGTGATGGGCCACAAAGTGCCGAGACGTAGGTCATGCCCCCATGAATCATCCATACACATTGCCCGTGACAGGTAGTTGGTATCACATCTTCTAATTCTCTATCCCACACAGCTGTAGCTTCGTAGCCCTTCCATCTCACATTGTGGAAAAGTGTCCTGGATATTATATAAGCAGTGAATAGAGAGAGCAGTCATGCCTTCCACGTCTGAACACCGTCAAGCTTATACCTTCCTACCAGGCTCCGCATCATTCTAGACAGAAAGACCAACTATCACATGGATTGGTGGGAGACCAGAAATAAGTCGTATACCTCATTGATAGGGTGAATTCCAAAAACAACCCCAGTCCACATATATTCTCCCGTGCCGTGGTTACTACCCAGCCAAGTCACAAAGCAAAATATATCCCTTTCATGAAAACACACCAAAAACCACATCCTCCTCAGACAACATTCCAAGCCTGGTCAATAGGCAAACTAACCCCGTTAACCGTCCTGGCCTGGTCCGTCGCCAAAAATACCACTGACTGCGCGACCTCGAGCGGCGTGATATTCGGCGTCGACTCGGACGCCTGCGCATGGAGCGCATGAACGGGCTCAACCTGCGCGTAGGCCTCGGCATCGAAGATCTCGTCTCCTTTTCCGTTCCCTCCGTGGCCTACGGCAATGGCCTTGCCAATACGCGAGTCGATGGCGCCGGGGAGCACCGCATTGCACCTGATGCCCTCCTTGCGGAAACGCCATGCCACGTTCTTGGTTGCGCCAATCTACCATCTCAGGGGTATCAGCAATTATGCTTCCAACAGTCTCCTGTCAAGAGGTTTCCCCAGTGAAAAGATCCATGGGTGAAGAAAAAGGAAAGGGAATCACGAACAATACCGTGTTTGCTGCACGTGTACGCTATCCCAGCCACGGCCCCCGAGACGCCAGCCGTGCTGGCGACGTTGACGATGACGCCCGACTTCTTCTCGAGCATAAAGGGGATCACCGCCCTCATCATCTTGACCGGGACAGTGAGGTTGACGGCCATTACCCGGTCCCACTCCGAGTCCGTCACGCCATCGGCGCTGCTGAACGATCCCATCACGCCCGCAACGTTGACAAGCAAGTCGATTCGTCCTCTATACTCGTTTGTCAATCCATCGTGTCTCCTATCATAACCCTCCCCCCCTCCATCCTTTTAACTCAAGCCCCTTAATGAATAGAAAAAAAAACTCACCCAAAAGAAGCAACAGCAGCATACACCCCATCCTCACAAGCCCTCGCCTCCGTGAGATCGGCGCGGTGGAAATGGAACCGGCCGTGATCCGCCTCCTGGAGTAGAGCGTAGTTGAACTCGCGCGCGTCGAGCCCGCAGACCGAGTACTGGTGCGCCAGGAGAAGCTGGGCGCACGCGAGGCCCACGCCCGAGCCGCACCCTGTGACGACGGCGACTTTGCCGAAGCCCACGGGGTCGATGGTCTTGGGCGGAATAAAGAGGGCGTCTGGGGAGGTGGTGAAGAACATTGCTGGCTAGGTAGCGCTCTTTCGTTCTCGCAGCTTCTTCTTTTTTTGCGGTTGTAGAGTGGAGGGTGAAATACCGAGAGTAGTTTGACGACTTGGATATGGTTGCTTGCTGTAAGCGTGAATCAAACTTTCTGGCTGGGAACTGGTTTTATGTTCGTTTCTATGATTTAAATTCCTCTACAATCTATGGTGCGCTGCTCTCTTACTTCTTATGCCATCTCGTCTCTGAAGCTAAGTGGTGTCATCGGCGTGCCCAGAAGACAACCACACCTGAACGAACCTTGGATGATTCGATGGGAAATCACGGCGCACACGGAGTCCTGCTATAACTCAGCTCGGTGTATCTCGTCCCAGACGTCTCAAAGCAGGCTTCTGCTGGTACTGCTATGCTCCCCTTGGTCATGTGGCTCATACCGAGAGAGGTGAAGAGGCAAATAAGCGAAATAGAGGACCAAAGAACTGTCCCACGCAGCATCAGACCACTTTTCGATCGGGGTAACGAAAGCATACTTGCCATCCTACGGAGTACCTTGGCTGGTATGGACTCATGGACGAGTTCACCCTGACAAGTAGACCGGTGCGGGCCGCTCTTGAATTATCACGCCACGGCGCACGGCTGGAAACGGGATGACAGCCACGTGGGATTGCGCGGGGGCGGGGTTTCAAAGGTGAGCCCATGTAGGTATTAAGGCGCTTCTCCGTCACCTCGAGCATTACCATGTCAAGTGTAGACAACGTGGCATATTTACTATCTGAAGCATTGGACCCAATGACTGTTGCGAAACTGGTAAATGAGGTGTGTCCCAGGGTATAGTTTTCCTGCCTCGATATCCCATCCTGCACCTTGGCCCTTCTCCCCCAAGCAATGCTTTGCCACCTTAAGAAACGTTTGGAATCCCATCAACCCGTCGCAATGCAACACCGAAAGCAAAAGAAGTATAAAACACACAAAACAAGCGTATACCCCGGGAAAATTGCGCGATGAACTCCTGCATTCCTTCTCGCCTGTTCACCCCGATACTGTTCAATGAAGCCGGCTGGACCCTCACTTGCCGTTATTCGCAACTGATGCCAAGTAGCCAAGCAGAAAGCTCCGATCAGCAGGAGAAATCGGTGTCTGACTGCCGCGACGGGACTCTGACAGGCCCTCCGGAGCACCCTGGCCGCTTGCAGAGGCCAGAGAAGCCACCCGGGATCGCATGCTGCCGTCCGGAGCCATCATCTCTCTGGCCTTTCCCTTATCCTCAGGAGCAAAGCCAGGCCCGGGGTTAGGCGATTGGGGCTTGCCGAAGAGCGAAAGGAGCTTCTGCCTCTGTTCAGGGGGCATCTGTGACTTCTGCTGCAGCCCGGCAGGTGCCGGGAGAGCGGATGCTGACGGCGGGCTGGCCAAACTGGCCGGCTTGTCGACCCCGAAAACCGAGGCCAGAGCAGGCGCACGAGGGCCAACAGGTTTGCTCATGTTCTCGGCTCGCTGGAGTATCTGATTCGGGTGCATTTGAGGCGAGTGATTATTATATATGGTGGAATTGTTGTTCGCGCCTTGGTGATAGAGACCTCTGTTCTCCATCGTTCTCGGGCTATAACCCCCGATAGTCTGAGGGCTTCTGTGCTCTTGCCTGCCAAGCTGAGATTGGAGTGATAAAGCTTGAAAGGGTACTTGGGACGTCGGATCTGAAGCGCTTTGAGGTGGTCTGCTGAGAGGACTGCTTGAAACTGGCTGAACTCCACGGAACACAGGACTGGGAATCTCCTGATTGCTCGTCTTTACGGTTGAGATTCCCTTCAAGAGAGCAGCGCTCGCGGTAGTTCCAGGTAATTCGACAGGCTGATTGACAGGCGGGGAGCTGACTTCAGAGTTCTTGAACATTGAGAGGAGAGCAGATCGATGCGCAGGATCGACAGGCTGCTGGGCCCTCATGGATGGACTTCCCTGGGGATGGGCTGCGCCTGCTCCCGGAATGCTGGGCGGTTGAGGATACACCTGAGAAGCTCCATTTCCATGAAGCTCGATTGGTGACTGTCCCTGCCCCTGAGGTGCGGATCCGTAGGGCTGCTGATTGGCCTGGCGAGCCTTGTCCGGACTAGCTGTTCTTGTGTCCGACTTGAGCACTCCCAGTAAAGCCATTGAGTGGTTCGAAAGCTGGTTGCTAGGCGGCTTCGGCTGATACATCATGCTCTGGCCTTGCTGCTGGAAGTGTGCTTGTTGGTACTGAGCATTCGCCATGGGTTGGTTGACAGTCCCCTGCGCGTGTTGAGGGGGCGGCGGGGGTGTGCCGTCGGCAAACGCATTTCGGTTCAGCAGAATCTTTTGGGCTTGAGGCGGCAATGGCTGTGGGTGCCTCAGGGGTGGCTGTGGCAGATGAGCAGGGCCACCCATCATCGCAGGACCGTACTGTCTGGCTTGAGGATGAGCCGAGCCAGCATTTCCAGGCTGCTGGAACGCCCAGGCCTGTGGTGTCCCATCTGGACCGATGGGGAAAGCCGGCGGAGCTTGATAGCTCGCCAGCGGTGCCCGTTGCTGAGGATGATGTTGACCATGAGGGCTTTGAGGCTGGGGAGCCTGTCTTATAGTATGATCCAGGGGCGTATGAGGGAGCTGCGAGACTGGAACTCCCTGAGCGACTGCTTGATTCTTGGCTTGAAGGATAGCGAGCAACGATGCACCCTTATCTGCTCCAATATCCGGAGAAGCTGGTTTCGATGTTGCTTGCGCTGCCGTCGGATGAACCTTGAGTAGACGCTGCAATTCCTGTGTTGCACCTTCAAGAGTATCGAGGCCTGGCGTCCGAGTCGATACGTCAGTCGCGGGTTCGGTTTGCCAAACTTCGTCTTCAGTGACAGGCTCCTCGTGAAGAGAGTACGGGTTGAAGTGCGCCTCGTTGGCAGCCTTGACAGCATCCTTTCTCTTTTGCTGCACGACCCATTTCTTCAAAGGAACCAGAAAGGGTGCAACCATGTAGAACTTGTTTGCGTTGGCAGCAGCGGCGGCTTCGTTTTGAGGCTGAATTCCTTTCTTCCGAAAGGCAGGTAACTCAGATAGTTTATACCACTCGATCTTGCTGATCTCCTTTCTCGTTCGCGGCTCGAAGTGGGTGTCCATCGGTACGTCGCGGAAGACATATAGTCTCAACTGCTGCTCTCTCATGGTGACCTCGATGTACTTGACGTCGTCTCTGTTCTTGGGAACTAGGCCAGCAGCGTGCAAATCGTATCCTGTCTCCTCGTACACCTCACGCACGGCGCATTCAAGATCGTCTTCGTCTTTGTTGATCTTTCCACGGGGAAAACTCCAGTTGGCGCCCTTCTTCCAGCCTTTGACCAAGATTGTCGAGTCCATAGCCTCATTGAGCATGATGGCTCCCCTCACAGGGACTCGAGTCTTGTACTGCAGGAACTCCTCAAAAGCCTTTGTATGATTCTCGACCGAAAATGGAGCTAGCAAGGGACAATGTTGGAAGATTCGAAGACTAAAACTTCGAAGTGTCATTGAAGGAAGCGTGGGGTCAAGGGGTCGGACGAAGTCTTCGTAGAACCATTGTGCCTCCTCTATTTGGAAGCAGATGCGAGCAACGGACGACAGGTCTTCTTCAGGTAGGTTGATGATGAATCGGACACATAGATCGTCCAACCCTATGTACTGTTAGTCCTGCCGCATCGACTGACATGAGTTGATGGCGCAAGGCTGCGGTAGCTATCACCGCAAAGCTTCCAAGGTGTGGGGTAACCAACAATCCTCTAATTGCATCTTTTCTTCGGCCATTTTGCGCGATGGCTAATAACATGTCCCAGGGACAATGTCTCTATTTTAGTCAGGTGTACCTGGTGAGGGAGTGAAGGTGGCGAAAAGCTCCTGGCAACGAGTCTGTATTGAAGTCGAGGTCGAGGTGCGGAGCGGTTGCATGGTACGGAAGGAGAGGCTTGGGGGTTGGTCGGGCTCGAAGCTTTCCGCTTGCGACCGGAATGCGCGTGCTGCAACGAGAATCGGCAGCGACGGGCAATTCAGCGGATCAAGGTGGAGGAAGTTGCGGGACAGGTATGGCTTCCTAGGGATGTGGTGTGTTTGTTGTTTGGAGCGGGTGCGCTGACAAGCGGCCTCTCGGATGTGGTGATGATTTGGAGTTTTGAGTGAGGTAGGATGCTGAGTAGTGACGGCCACTGCACTCTTTGTTGACGATGGCAGATACTGCAACGTCAGGCAACTAAGGTAAGGAAGGTAAGGTAGCTGCTGGCATACCCGTGGACCCGTTCCTCGAGATGCCTGACTGGACGTGGCAGATGCCGTGGTGGTCGCAAGCTGTTAAGCGAGCTCGTGATTGGGCGTGCCTTCCCCAGCTCCGCACGTGTCAAAAAGCGCACTGTCTCATCTCGCGGCAAAATGGTGGCAGCTACAGTGCGCATGGAGTTCGCGGTCAAACTGTGATGACACAGCCCGCCTCCAGCTTGTCAAACCACATCAGATCAACACCTTCGCTTCCATCCGGTCTCGACCGGTCCCTGTCAGATATATGTTGCCTCAACTGTTGAAGGAATTAAGCATGCAGGTCAACAGGCAAGCTCCCTCAATGGCTTTTCATCCTATTACAATTTTCTCTTGATGGAATGCACCCGAGAGGTGGGAGCTTCCTTGACACAAGGGGCGAACTTTGAAGATTCTGGAGAAGGCACAGCCACGATATGGCTGTGCACGCACATCACTTGCCACACTTGCGTGGCTGGACACGCCGTCAGTACCGAACCTCTCTCACCCATGCCGGCGGGTTTGTTCTCACACTGAAGTGCTGAGTCTGCTGGCATGACAAGTCCTGGGAAGTGTGCTGCATTGCATTCAATTCAGGGCCATTGAAGACCAGTCGCGGCGCACGCTCATTGGAGACCAGCCAACTGGCCGCTGCAGCATGATGTGAAACGACTGCGGTCTAGCCTGCTCAGACCCCACTGAAGAGGCCTCTCGGAACTGAGGCAAGTGCATTGGCGTGCAGTGACCGACAAAATTACATCATGATGGTAGTCTGGTCCCCTGACTTGTCAAAACAGGAATTCTGGGCGCCCAAGGGACCAACCTCTTGTAGTGCAACTTAGCAGCCACGCAGTTTAGCTACGAACCAATCTACGTAGTGTGCAGTGAACGCAGGAGGCAACTTGATCTACCATACCACCCATACAAGCCATCCATGCCATACCTTGGCAGCTCGGACCTTGCCAGCCAGCTTCCCAGCTTTTTTCCTCAACACCTTACCTACTTATATCACCAAGACCGTTCCTCTCGCTCAGTTGCCGCAGCCTTCTTGGAAACTCTTGACCCTCAACACCCTTACCTCCAGAATCACCTACTCGCTTGCTTAAGTATTCTTACTTCAACCAAGAGTACACAGGACCGCATTGCGAAAGGCTTTGACATCAACGGTCCCGACGAGCCTGTCTCTGTCTCAGTGCGCCACTCATCACTAACAGTGACTGGGAAACACCGTTCTTTCCGGCACTCGCCCACAACCTACCGGTCCGGCACTTCATCAACAATACCACTGCAAACATGGCCAGTCTTATCGCCAAGTGGGTCAGCAAGAAGATTCTTGCTGAGAGGGTTGAAAACAAATTTGGCCGCGAGGTATGTCACCTTACGCAGCATGGCATTTGGGCCCTGCGCTCACCCGCGAGACTGTGGATCCACAAACAAGAGTACCATACTGACCTCATCACCAGGACCCTTATTTTGAAAGCGTCCCCGCCACCAGACTTGATGGTTCCCCCAACGGCAAGGTCAAGAAGCGCAGAAAGGCCTTGCCGCCTGGCCTCTCCAAGCAAGACGGCGAGGTCTTGACCAAAGTCAAGAGAAGAGCCTACCGTCTCGATCAGTCGCTTTTCAGTTGCTGTGGTGTTAAATTTGGATGGGGTAGCGTCATCGGCTTGGTTCCTGCGTAAGTACCTGTCCTCCCCTGCTGCTGCTACTGCTGCATCACCCCACACTCCCCATTCGGCTTATCGACAAGACAACAACTAACATCATGTTGACTGTAGTGTTGGTGATGTTCTCGATGCTTTCATGGCCATGATGGTGTTCAGAACCTGCTCTAAGGTCGAAGGTGGACTCCCAAACTCGGTCAAATCTCAGATGATGTTCAACATCATTATCGATTTCGTCATTGGCCTGGTCCCATTCGTGGGCGACATTGCCGATGCTGCTTTCCGCGCCAACACCAAGAACGCCATTCTCCTCGAGGAGCATCTGCGCGAAAAGGGAAGAAAGAATATGAAGCGCAGCGGAACACCCATTCCCGCAATCGATCCGAGTGAGGCAGATGAATGGGATCGCTTGCAAGGCGACCGCACCCCGCCCGAGTACGTCAGCCGTGAGCCTTCTCGCAATGGACACATGTCAGCAAGTCGCCATGAACGTGCTCCGACTGCTCCAGCCGCCGCTGCAGTTAGAGAGGAGCGCTCTGGCGGTCGAGGCTGGTTTGGCTTTGGAGGTCGCTCGAGGGTTGACGACGATGTTGAGGCGGCTCGTGATCCCAGGGACAGACCCGCTCGTCAATCGCGTCGTTAGACTACCGGCTGCTCGAGGAATTCTCTCACAAGAGGAAGAGTCGAGGGTCAGAATTGGCGATGAAGACAAATGGGTAACTCGTCGAAATTCGCGGTGGCTGGGAAGCACGCCCAGCGTTTGCGTGTACCTGATGGATGGTCAAACTTCGATAGACTCTTGGTCTATCTGGCTCTAGATGCTTATTTTATGAGGACTTGGACGACGAAGATGAACATGACACGATACCTTTTCTTTTACATACCCACGCTGCTTTAGTTGCACTGTCAGAAGCTTAATACAGTTCACAAGAAAATCAAGGTCTCGCAAAAGGGTTGACGTGTACATGACACATGAACTGTTTGGATCTGGATGTGAAGCCGACAATCGGTGTCCGTGCCAACGGTCAAATTGACGATCAGACTGGTGATGGTAATTCCGCCAGTCCGCTTCCAACGCGTCGACCCGCAGCCGAGAGTCATACAGTCAGGATTTGTCGATGCTTAGACGAGATTACATGGCTGATGAGTCTTGGATGGGCCACTTGGGTTCCACTGAGCTGGAGCTAGGACGTGTTCAGTTTATCAGATCTGATCTGATACCTGACATGGAAGTACCTAGGGGCAGGATGGGCTTGGAACGCGTCGAGTCGTAACGCCGAGGACGGATCCAGCTCAAAGAGGCGTGTGCAGGGCCGGGAGATGGAGCTTGGAGTAGGGAATGGGATATCTGGAACGTGTGTGGCTCGGCCGAAGCTCTCGAGTCTCCGGACAAAGCTTGCTCTGGTTTCCCGGCCATGACATCGTGTTGCCTGGTTGGCGTGCCGGGGGTGGAACGCAAGCGGCCACCTCGGCGTCGTAGCTCGACCCAACTTACAAATGATGAGCATGTTGAAGAGAGAAAAAATGGCCAAAAAAGAGGGCTGGGCCTGGCATATCCCGTTCGGGACCACAGTTGGTAGACTTTTCTGCGCCAGGTCTTGGGCACTTTGCAAGGTCTGGAAGTGGAAAGGCGAGAAGCGAGACAAGATCCTTCCACTTTGGAACGAAACGCGCCGGCGATGCCCCTGGAAGACGCGCTTTTTAGTGGGGTGGAGGGGAGACGATGGCGCGTGGATTCAGCTTTAAGAGCACCAGGGGGCAGTCAGACCAGCTTCCCAGTACTTCCACAGCCACCTGCGAAGAAAGGTACGAGGCTCGAAGTACCTAAGGTACTTAAGGTGGAAAACACGAAAACGCGAATATCCCTGCCCTGTGCTCAACGCGTCCCACTACCTAGCGCTCGGTGCTGCTTGCCCGCTACATAAACTCTGCCTTTCCAGAGTTCCTCTACCAACAACAGACATCTTCTTCACTCCCAATCACGACCATACCACAACCAAAAGACAGACTCCCGACCTCAATTACTTCTTCCAAAGTCTTGTCTTCCTCCTTTTGCATTCAATCACCCTCATTCTTCCTCCCTCGCCGCATTTCACACACTTCCGCCATGTCTATCGAAGTCACACCGTCCAAACAGGTAAGTAAACGTCACCACTCGGGTTCACCCGAGCTTGACTCTAGTCCACGCGCTTTCCGCAATCGCAATCGCTAACAACTACTTCTCCAGGCCGCTGCTGCCCTCGACTCTTTCAAGATGGAGTCCCCCGTCAAGAAGCTCAACTTCAACCCCGCCGACAAGGAGAACCAGCCCCTCACATCCGACGTTGCCACCGCAACCGAGAAGACCTTTGTTCAGACGAAGCCCGCACAAGAGGTCGTGAAGAACGAGAACAAGATCGTTGTCGCTCCCGGCATCAAGGAGCAGGAGAAGGATGAGCCTCTTCTCCAGGAGAACGGCCAGCGTTTCGTTCTCTTCCCTATCAAGTACCATGAGGTATGTGAACGCGTCGCAAGACGCGTAAAGTGGTTTGCTCATTGAACCTCGACTGACTCCCGACTTCTAGATCTGGCAAATGTATAAGAAGGCTGAGGCCTCTTTCTGGACCGCTGAGGAGATCGATCTCTCCAAGGATCTCCACGACTGGAACAACAAGATCAACGATGATGAGAAGTACTTCATCTCTCACATCCTCGCCTTCTTCGCCGCATCCGACGGCATCGTCAACGAGAACCTCGTTGAGCGCTTCTCCGGCGAAGTCCAAGTCCCTGAGGCTCGCTGCTTCTACGGTTTCCAGATCATGATGGAGAACATCCACTCTGAGACCTACTCCCTCCTCATCGACACCTACATCAAGGAGCCTGCCCAGCGCACGTACCTCTTCAACGCCATTGACACCAGTATGTTGACTTCACGCATACCAATATGAAAGCATCGCTAACCCATATCACAGTTCCCGCCATTCGCAAGAAGGCTGACTGGGCCTTGAAGTGGATCAGCGACGATAGCTCGTCCTTCGCCCAGCGTCTGGTTGCCTTCGCCGCCGTCGAGGGTATCTTCTTCAGCGGTGCCTTTGCCTCCATCTTCTGGCTCAAGAAGCGTGGTCTCATGCCCGGTCTGACCTTCTCCAACGAGCTCATCTCCCGTGATGAGGGTCTTCACACCGACTTTGCCTGCCTCTTGTACTCTCACCTCAACCACCGCCCTAGCAAGCAGGTCATTGAGGACATCATCGTTGACGCCGTCAAGATTGAGCAGGAGTTCCTGACCGAGGCTCTGCCTTGCGCTCTCCTCGGCATGAACTCCAACTTGATGAAGCAGTACATCGAGTTCGTTGCCGACCGTCTCTTGGTTGCTCTTGGCAACGACAAGGTCTACAAGTCTTCCAACCCCTTCGACTTCATGGAGAACATCTCCCTTGGCGGCAAGACCAACTTCTTTGAGAAGCGCGTTGCCGACTACCAGAAGGCCGGTGTGCTCAACAGCACCAAGAAGGCGCAAGAAGAGACCAAGGTTGAGGGAGAGAATGGCGGCGACTTCGCGTTCGATGAGGACTTCTAAATCATCGTAGAGCGCCTGAAGTTTCTGTTGGTTCTTTTCCCCATATACCCCTTGTACATTGCACACGCATGGTGCTTTCCAGAGCAGCGTCTTTTCACACTCCACACTCAAACCCCCTCCCCTCACCTGAGCTTGAGGTTTAGAGCTGTTATTCCTTTTTCGTACATACATGGCGTTGGCGGGGATCGTTTTACAGGGAGTTGAAGGTTCCCAAGGACTGGTTGGATGACTGCGGAAAATGGGGCATGAATATCTTTGATGGATAATGTACCGCATTGATTCTCTTTTTAGTAATCGCACATGACATAACAACCAAGCGTTTCTCTTTTATGATGTGATCTGATGCATTGTATACCCCCGATGGCTTCTCCGGCAGGGCTTTGTGATGTTGCCACTTTGTCAATATTTTCTACTTTTCTTTGCCCTGACCCCTTGGTGTATGCGAGTCAACCTCTGCAATACCTTTTGAGGCCCTGACCCCATGGTGATGCCTTCTTCATGATGTGTCTGTCTATTGACCACAACTCACCCAACATATCCACCCAACATCTTTACCCAGCAGTGGTATTGCGTCTCCCACTCTTGACTGACTACCCCATTACCCAAATCCTAGTCCTCATTTCTTGCCCTTCTTCTTCTTCTTTCCACCAGCACCTCCACCACCACCCCCAGCAGCAGCAGCCTGAGGTTTCTCCACGGGCGTCGCCGCGCCGCCCGCCGCCGCCGGCGTGTCCTCCCCCGCTGCGCCTGCGGCGTCGGCCATCGGCTCATCCAGCGTCGCCGGTTTCGAGGTGGCCATTGTGCGGCCCAGGGCGCCGAGGCAGGTGATGAGGCGCGAGACCTCGGCGGCCTTTGTGGTGCGGTATTTGAGGGTGACGCCGCTGACGGGGTCAAAGGTTTTGATTACGAGGGAGCCGCGCGGTGGTTTGGCGTCTGTCATGGGGGCGTCTTCTGCGGCGGAGGCATCATCGGTCTTGGTCTTTCGGGGTTTGACTGCTTTGATGGAGTACTTTGTTGTGATGCGAGTCTATTAGAAGCGTTTAGAGGTTAGCTCCGAACGTTCGCCCCCCCCCTTCGTCCATAGGTTTGGTATGGTAGATGGGCGAGTGAGCATGGAGATGAACATACGGTTGTCGGACGGGCTTGGAGGAGCAGGGACGATTGCTCCAGCCATTCCTGGCTGGTCTTGTAGGTCGGCATTGTGATGTGAGGGGGGTGGGGGTGGGTGAGAGGAGAAAAGGCCACGGCCTTGCGCGGTTGTTCGGTCTGTGTGTGCGCGCGCGACAGATGTCGACGATAACGGAATGCCTAAGTAACTGCAGTTCGGTTCCCTCGAGCAGTTCGGTTCGACAAGTATTCGCTAGGGTGTCATGCGCGCCGTGGTGGTCGGAGTGACGTTTGGTGTCGTGGAGGTGGCCTGGCTTTGGTGGAGGATGCAATTTTGGTGGGGTTCCGCCATCCTTGGTAAGTTAAGGTACTTCCGACCTTGCACGCTGGCGAGGGGCAAGTTTAAGCCGCGCACAGGAAGCACACTGGGCTCTACCCCCGAGCTCTACTTCACAATTCTCATAAGCAGAGTTCAGAACCTGAATATTCCCAAGGTTTCAACAAATTCATTGATGTCGAATTTTTTTTTTTTCAACGGATTGGGTATCTTGTATCCTAGACTCCGAAAATCATTGACCTCTCCAGACCGCCATTTCACAGCTTCTAAATTTCCTACGAACCGACCGCTTCATGCATGAGGATCAGGTACCCAGAACAGCACATCTTGATCCGCCGTCGCAAAGAAGTTGTACCGCGGGTTGAATGCCAACACCGCCGCCTCTCGCTTTTCCTCCAATACCCAGGTGGCATCGAGGGTCTTGGTCTCGTTCTGAGGCGGGGTCAAGATATCCCAGACCAGGACATCCTTCGGACCACCGCTCAGAACGTAACGGCCATCCACAGAGAAGCAACAATCCCCGCTGCCTTCGATTGTGGGCTGGTCCGTCTTCGACATACTGCCATTGATGGTGGTTGCTGTCTCGCCAGCCGCCAGCCGCCGGGTTCCGCCCTCGGGCTTGCGCAGGTACGCCTTCAAGCTCCCGTCGAAGGCATCGAGTAGGAAGTGGCCGGGGCCGCGAGTGCCGACCAGTATATGCTTGCCGTCATTCGAAAATTCCAGCTTCGTCCAACCCCTGACTACAAACTGTGAGTCCACGTGTCTGCCGGCGTCGACGAGATCGAAGGTCGCAAATGGCGCCTTGTCGTAGTTGCGGCAGTCATATAGTAGAACGCTTCCGCTGCTCGTACACGCGACTGCAAAAGTCTGCCCCGACGGGTCGTATGCCGCGAGATACGGAGAGTTGAGGTTCAGTTGACCGCACCATTGCTTCGTCGAGATATCCCAGAGGCGCACAGTATTGTCCTGGCCACAAGAGATGAAGTTATCAGCTCCTGGGTGTACTGTAATATCTGTGACGCTCTTTTCGTGGCCCTCGAAGTATCGGATGAAGGAATTGTCGTGGGTAGCCAAGTATCGGATCTGGTCTGGTAGGCATTAGCCATTGTGTGGCGGTGTGAGGGTAAGAGCGCGCCTACCATTTTGCTTCGTACTCGCGTAGATGATGCTGGAGCTCGTATGTGTGAACTTTGCCAGCTTAACGCCGTACTTTTTGCTTAGCAAGTTCTTCTTGTGCTCACCGTCCTTCACGCTGTAAATCTGGATAGTCTCGTCGCTCTCGGAGGTCATGAGAAGCTCGCCCGGGTCGTCGAAGTCGAGGGACAGCACGTGGGGTTGCGGACGGCCATCCTTGATGTCTGATCTTTTAAAAAGCTGGAGACTAATCAGTCAGAGAGCTCCCAGTATGGTTTTCGGGCTTTTAACTCCTTACCTTTGTTGGGCGGAATGACGATATGACTTCGCTCAACGGTGTGGTATTGTTGGTTGCTAGAGAGCGCGTGATGTTAAGCGAGTTTCCGTTGGCCGGGGTCGACTCGCGATGGTCCAGATCCATCGGCATCGAAGCCATTATGGGTTCTTTCAGTATTCCCAGGGCTCTACTGGCTCGGAAACCGGCGTCTCAATTGATTCTGTCGCGAGCTGTGAGCAGACGATGTACTCGTCGCAGGATATGAAGTTGGCGTGAGAAAGATCAGAACGCTCCTTCACAAGTACAGTGGATAAGTGCAGTCGTTCCAAGGTTGCAATTGTGGTTTTGTGGACGGCAAGTCAGACCGCGTTTTGTCATGCGATGCGACTGGAGGAAACCAAAGAGCTTCCCCAATTCAGTTTCGCGGGGTTGTGGTACTGAGGGAGCTGACTGCGCCACAGTTCTTGCACCACCCCAGGGGTGCTTAGGGGAAGTGTTCAGCCACACCTTACAACAGTCGTTGATAATGCGCGACTTCGCATTGGAAACTGACGTCCTGGCAATGAACCAGCTAAGTTGACGCCCCCCTTTTTGGTTAGGATCTGGGGTACTACCGAATACCGATTCAGGCCGCTATAGCCCGCGAACCCTGCCAATTGGGACCTACAGCCGCCGGGATCGGCAATGGCTATCCACGGCCGTATTGACTTTGAGCAAGAAAAATCCCAATTTCTCTTCCGCGCGCGGAGCTTACTGAGAGACCTGTAGCCCCGGTAAAAGAGTCAACCCAGTCACGTCAACCCAGTGCCAGCCCGACAGAACTCAATCCCTATCGCAATCACATCGCCAATTTCCTCTCTAGAGTTGCGCGCATTACGGCGAACGGATTCTTGACAGGTAGACTATGTAAGAATCTGCCCAGACCTTAGCATCTGTCCATGGTGACTGGCTATCAGCCTGCCACGACGTCAATGTTGCTGACCCGCGCTGTTCCGTCATTTTAGGTACTAGCATTCCGAGATCGCGGTGTCACTCTTTTCTCTTTCTCTCTCTCCTTCCAAGCGAAACCCGACTATCATAGGAGTCGCAATCACCAACTACCAGCATCTTACACCTCACCGATACCCATTTCATTCTTATCTTTGCGACAAGACCAATTGACACAATGTCAACAACCCTTGGGCAAGTCATGGCCCGCAGTTCGACATCCGCAAGACCAGCGAAGCTAACCTTCGCAACAGCGCCTTCATCGCCGGCGGCATTGCCGCCTGCGGCGCTGTAACGGCCACGCATCCCTTCGAGACTGTCAAGATCCGGTGCGTCTGATAGCGACGACGCTCGCTCCCTTCCCGCTCGCTCCCTTCCCGCTCCCTGCCGCCGGCAACGCGCTGACCCCTCTCCCCCGACATATAGAATGCAGTTGCAAGGAGAACTGAAGGACAAGGGACACCAGCCGCATCAGTACAGAGGCCCTCTCCAGGGCGTGTCTGTTATCGTGCGCAATGAGGGCGTGAAAGGAATCTACCGCGGTATCGGCTGCGCGTACATCTACCAAGTCCTGCTCAACGGATGCCGTCTTGGATTCTACGAGCCCATGCGCGAAACCCTGTCGACTCTCATCTTCAAGGACGGCAAGACGCAGAGCCTGGGCATCAACATGGCTTGCGGTGCTGGATCAGGAATCATGGGTGCCGCCGCCGGCAGCCCTTTCTTCCTCGTCAAGACACGGTTACAGAGCTACTCTCCCTTCATGCCCACCGGCACACAACACAAGTACCGCAATGCCTGGAACGGTATGACCTCAATCTACGGCGCCGAAGGCATTCGGGGACTTTACCGCGGCGTCGGTGCGGCTATGATTAGGACGGGTTTTGGTAGCTCCGTGCAGCTTCCCACCTACTTCTTCGCCAAGCGGAGACTGGTCCGCCACTTGGGTATGGAAGAGGGTCTGCCTCTGCATCTTGCTAGCAGTACCGTCAGTGGTTTCGTTGTTTGCTGCGTGATGCATCCTCCTGGTAAGTTCCAACCCACGATTCACGTGCGTCTCCTCGCGTACTAATACTCGTGGTAGACACCATCATGTCTCGTCTGTACAACCAAAACGGAAACCTCTACAAGGGCGTCTTCGACTGCCTGGCCAAGACCGTCCGCACTGAAGGCTTCTTGGCTATTTACAAGGGTTTCCTGCCTCACCTGGCTAGAATCCTTCCCCACACCATCCTTACCCTGACCCTGGCGGAACAGACAAACAAGCTGATGAGAAAGTTCGAAGACCGCATCCTGCCTTCGGCTACCATCCAAAACCCATGATCAACCATTGATCTTGTACCTATTAAATCAGCGTTCCTTGCATATATGGAGTTAAAAATGAGCTAGGTAGACGGGGGTGGAAATGTCGCGAGCCGGGGATCGGCTTCTAGAGAACATACGGGGGGTAGTTAGGATTGTGGTGAGGCAGAATACGGGTCAGAAATCACGCTAGACAGGCCGGCCGGGGAGGGTGCTTTGAACGCGCATCTTTCTGTTCGATCTATCCATATATAGACCGTTCGCATCCATAACATAGTTTCCCTGCAGTGCGCTTCCTACTGTCGTCAATGTCCTCCCCAATCTCACCCTTCCATCGGGCATCGCCCTGTGCGTCTACATCCATGCCGCAGACGGCACACGCATCGCCGTCGCTCTCTCTTGTCAGTTTACCACTGGTGCGTACGACATTGGCGACGACGGAGGGATAGCTCTCCTCCACCTCCTCAAAGTACCGCGCCATCACGTCCTCGATACTGAGTTCCTTGTGCGAAACAACAGCGTTGCTGCTGGGCCCCGCTTCCTGGGCGAGGTCCTTAAGAGACGGTATCAGACCCGCATATGTGATGACCTCCCGCCTGAAAACGTCTCGGAGGAGGTAGTATACTGGAAGCATCGTCTTCTCCGCCCCTTGTACGCCCTCCTCGTCCTCCGTGATCTTCTCCTCTCCGGCACGAGGGAACGTCGTGACGGGAACAGGGCCGTCAGCAACCTGCCACGGCACCGCGAACCCGCGGCCCTTGGCCGTCTCGGCGAGCGTCAGCTCGGCCAGGGCGGTCGTGGTGCATCCCAGCAGCAGCGCGTGGCACTCCCTCTCCACGGCCAGCGACAGCAGCAGATTCCGCACCAGGAGCCTCATGATATCCACCCGCGACGTGACGGACGGCAGGGCCTCGAGGAGAGCCCTGAGCTGCTGCGCGGGCGCGAGGCCGGGCTGCAGGGCGGGGAGGACGGACCAGTCTATCGTGTCCAGCTTGAGGGCGTCGCCCAGCGGGACGATTTGCATCGAGAGGTTGGGGAACTGGTCCTTGTACTTTTCGAAGAGCAGGCTTGCCGATGAGGCCGGAGCGTCTGCTGCGGTGTTTGACAGGTCTGTGTCGATGTGGACGGCGTGCACCTCGTACGCGACGCGCAGGTTCTTCTCCTTGAGACCCTGGAGGTTCTTGTCGAGCACCTGGACCAACGAGGCCGACGAGGGGCCGAGGGAGAGGCCGAGGAGGTACTTTGCTCTTACGTCGGGCGTGCTGGCTAGCTTGTCCTTTACATCGCGGTATGGCTGGGCGAGACGCTTCACGACTCTTTGGACAATGTGCTGCTCATAGCAAGTCCTGCGTGTGTGCTCAGCTCTCTGTAAAAGTTTGGGCATGAAGCATATGCAAATGAGAATGCTTACTCGCAAAGAGGATCCTTTCTCACTTTCAAGACGGTCGGCGTCTTGCATCGCCTGCATGGGCGAGGTTCCGTAGTGCTGCTCATGATGGCGGGTCGGGCCGCCAGAAGTGACGTCGAAGTACTAGGGCTGGTCTCAGATGTGGTTATTGAATTTGGAAGCAGCCGTGTCAAACTTTTCTCGAATATGAGAGTTGTATCCTGTAGTGCGATCTGATAAATATCCTGGTGGAGGTGGTGCAGCAGTTGGGTGTAGATGTTGAAGAGTGAGAAGGTTCCGCCACCATGGTTGACTCAGACTCAGTCTTTCTTTGGTGTGTAGTTTGAATTTTTTTTTCGGCCCAACTCATCTTTCTCCATCATCCCCCGCGACAATTACCCAACGTCTGTTGAAGTGAACATGCGAGGTAAGCGTCCCAGAACCTTGCAGAGTAGACATTTTGTAATTCTTAGATTTGTGAACTATTCTCGGCATCATCAAATGTTGGATGAACAGCGTCGTTGTCTGCTATATATGCGCATCCTTCCTCTCTAGGGAAGATAGCTTCCAGCCTCACGCAAATAAGACCGATAAGTAACGATGATTTGCATAGCTGATTACCTAATGCTATATTTATGTCTTTTTTGACCGAATCACAATGTTCTAGTCAACTGATGTGAGTTCTCAACATGTAGCACTAAGTGACTTGTCCTGTCCCACCGAGCTTCCAGTTGAACTCAACTCAGAGTCATGAAAAGATGCAGCCTAGGGGGTGCTTCTCAAAGGATATACGGTCTTTCGCCCAAGCATTCTTCAAAATATTTCGTCCCTCAGATGCCACTGTCTTCGCCTGGTCTTGCGTGCCCCAGCCTTGCACTGTCGTGCCAAAGCCGATGAGATGGACGGCGACATGAAGTAGTGTTCGGAAGGCAAAGTCGTCATCCACTGCGCCATACCCCTCGACGAAACCTTGGATCAACCAGACACCAGATTCCATTTCTTTGTACAGCTTCAGTTCGTATAGTTCCGCAATCATCTGGCCTAGGTCAAGGGGCCTGACTGCAAGCTGGCACATCTCCCAATCGACGACAAGAAGGTGGCTATGCTCATCATCCCAGGGGTTACCCTCTAGCAGAATACTAGTAAATTGTGAGTTGTATAATCAGAGTGAAGGTGTCTGGAACAACTTACTTCCCGGTCCAAAAGTCGCCGTGGATGACTTGCAGGTTTTTATCGTCCACCATCATCTCCCTTTTGACGCTGTCCACAATGTCTGCAAAGATATCATTGCAGTCCCCCAGAATATCTGGGAATCGAGTGATGGAGTTGGGGAGTCGTTCATAATTCATCCATTGCTTAAGCGTCTGCATTTCCTTGTTTCCTGCGGCGAGATCGCGAAACTTGAGCTGCTCTTCCGAGTTGCTCCAGTCATGGAATGACCGCAGCCACATACCCACAGCTTTACCAATATCGAGGCATTGTGACTTGACTGATTCCAAAGTTGTTGATTCCGAGGTTGACGCTGCGAAATACTGAATGGCATAGTTCTTGAGGCTTCGCGGGCTAGGCTGGTATGCCTGAACCTGGGTGTTGGTCTCTTCATTGAAGTAGAAAAGCTTCGGAGTTGCTACGCTAAACTTTTGGCCGGAGTATGGAGGAAACGCTGAGAATTCTCGCAGGCAGGATTCCTCGATCCGCTTCCTAGTATCAGCCATTAATCTCCTTTCAATCGAGTGTATAGAAACTCACGCATCTTGATGTGGGAAGTTTGAAGCCGGGACTCTGGGCGACAAAGCCCTCACCATGCTTTATGGCTACCTCGACAGTCCCATCAAAAAGCGGCTGCTGCAGCTTCACATGAAATATGAAGTTTGTCGTTCCTCCACTGAGGAGGCGGGCAGACTCGAAGCAGTATGGCGTACCGGCCAACTCCGCCTTGACCTCACGAAGCACACGATCGGAGGTGCTTTCTTCTGACATCACGATTATAAAGCCTGCAGACGAAGCTGTTGGAGTAATTTTTTTTTTGTCACTTGTCGAAGGGAAAGCGGGGATAGCCTGCGATATCTGGACCAAGTTGGGGAATGAAGAGGATGTGAAGTTGTCCTACGTAAATGGCAGTTCAACAAGTCGTGGGAAAATAATGAGCAAACAAACGAAGGAAATGACGACCTTTATCTGAACGTCGCCGGAGACGCTCTTTCCATTCGTTATCTTCTAACTAATCGACCGGGGCGTCGCTTTCCCTTCAAACGAGTCGGAATGACAGGGCAGCAGCAATCTGCAGCTAGACGGCAGATGACTCACTCGGCGTGAACTTTCCATCTCTTCCATTACATCGCGAAGTCCGCAGCCCTCAAAACACATCGTCAAATGAAAGACCACAACAGGCCACACACTTGCTAGTTTACTATGCTCGCAGTTATGGAGGAACATTTAAGTTGAAGGCATACCTGGCGACGGAGGATTGCAGATCTACTTACATAAGCTTGACTGTGCCCTGGGGTCCTGTATTACATCGAGACGACTGGTCATTGGCACGAAATCTTTAGTATGAAGCGGAAGTCTATCATCTGAATATGGGTCACATCTTATTTGTGCGACTCTTTGGAGGTAAACGTTCCCTCGCCCTATCGCAGAGTCAATGGGAAATTGGGTTCTCCGTTCTGGAACAGGCACGAGAATTTGGGACTTTCGTATTAGACGAGCTCTTTTCCGAGCGAGTTTTGCAAGGAACGACAAGAGCACCGTTCAGTCCGCCTAAGTGTCTCACAATATAGAGGTCGAGGTCGACATGCTCGATAGCTTCTATGAGTGACAGAACTTTGACCTGCGAAGGCGCCACGCCCAACCGGAAAAAAGTTGCTTTGCGAGGCATGTGAGATGATCAACCACGTACACTCACTGTCCAGGCCCAGCAATGGACAAAGCATGCCGAGTCCCAAAACGCCATCTACTTCCAACGACCCTGGCATAATCTAAACCATAGCAGATCCTGTAAGCCCTGGAGGTTTCCTATCGACTAGATTGTTCTATACCTTGCTGGATATAAATAGAGGCCATGGCATAGCTAGCCACCGTGCCACCGTTTGGGAGGCAAGATGGACCAATGCTTCTTGCGCTAGTCGTGACTTCCATGCAATCTATAGGCAGAAGGAGGAGGAGATTGAGGATGGGCAGCGGGAGGAAGTGGAACAGTAGTAGTTCCCCTTGGCAGTGTCAGTAGATCAAACGACACATGCAACTCCAACCCCCAGTCTCCTGTCAATCGGTCCTCATTCTGCACAGACCAGAGTCACGGTCTCACCGTGGTTATCGACTTGGCTTGAGACGGCATGAAGTATTATACCTAGTCTCTGTCGGGACAAACGGATGAGCGACTGGAAATTGGGTGGTTGGGTAGTTCCAATTCGAGTTCAGCCACAGAAGCAAACAAGAGAAGAAGCGGCCAACCACCGGGCCGCACCGGGCTTAGACACTAACATATGCCAGATCCAGATCTGACTGGGGTTTGAGCGCCACGGGAGAGCGGTTCGACAAGCCGTGGGCGAGGAAGCTTATCTGAGCACTTCACCGCTCTTCCCGATGGGTTTTGTGGGCGGCTCTAGAGAGACGTTGAACAATATTGCATGGGGATGCTCTGGGACGGACAACTAGCGACAAAACAAACCGTGAATATGCTAGCTCTGACAGCTCTCTACCGAGCGAATGGACGTGGGATGGCGGGATATCAGGGTGATCCGTCTCGGAGCCGGGCTCACACAGCATGAGGTCTTGGCAGGGGACCGGGACTGCTTTGCGCGAGTTGAAAGGGCGGCAACTATTGAAGCTGGAACATGACGTCGATGCGGGAGTGGAGATGAGCGTATATCCGTAGCTTACTCGGATGAACTGGAAAAAAGAGACGGACCGCATGTTGTGCATGGGCAATGGGCTTGTAAATAGAAGAGGGATAGAATGTAGTTAAACCACGGACGTACGACGCCTGAGCGCGCTCGGTCGACGAGGTTGAGGCCAAGTCTGGGCGCCTAAGAAACTAACGCGCTTCGGATGTTGTTTGATTTGGAGAAAGCATTGGGTGTAGTGTGATTTTTTGTTCTCCTATTCCATACGGAGTATCCAGTTAAGAAATGTAAGTTCCTATTTGCGTCAAGCAAGCGCCCTGCTTATTATCAACGTGGTTTGCTTGTGATATACTCCGTACGGATAGCAGGGTTAGAATAAAGTCTGAAAGCGAAAGTCAGGAACGGAAAGAAATGGAGACTTGGGCAACATGTTCGGACCGTCAGAAACCAAGGTGCCGGGGAAAGCAAAACGCAACAGTCGGGACTTTGTCTCTTGCATCACACATGGCACGCCGCACGAGGGAGTCAGGGAGGAGGGCATTGAGATGGGACGAGATTCTTCTATTTGGAACAGGAAGGCGACCCACATGGGAAACAGTGAATGGCCAATGCAGCCGAGTGATCCAGAGTGTCCAGGTAGGGCCGCAGGAGCGTTTGTGGTGAGACGGCGGTCGCGACCTACCCCTTTTCCTACCACCTACCCGTACCTGGACTTTGTACCCAATGATCCATATTCGTTCCTGACTTTTTTCATCGTCCATTCGTGCCTAGTCCACTGCTGTTTGGCAAATGGCTGGCAGGCGGGGACTGGGAGACTTGGAGTTGCATCCCAACCACTCGATCAAACAGCTTCGGGGGTGAAACGGGGCGGTGCTGGTCGTTCAGTGCTTCACCCACTTCTTGGCCCGCCACTAGCCTAGGTATGGCCCTATGCTGATTGATGTTGATGGTATTCGTACTTTTTACTTGGAGGTTCCTGAGGCTCTGCACCAAGGAGCCAAGTACATCTGACTGTTCTGCAGCTCAAACGGGTGAAATGCCGTGTTCTCTTGATGCTTTTAGCCGACAAGCAGGAGGCCTACAGATTGGATCAAGAGACGGGAGTCAGGCACATGCATGTACCTTGTGTAAGTATTCCACACTTCCATACAGTAAGGTACGCTCAAGCGCTCAAGCGCTCAGATGCCCTCCATTCCCGACCACCTCTTCCTTGTCTCCCAAGCCTGTCACCTCCAAAAAGACATGCTCTTGTTTCTTTGAATTCAGACACCGTCAGCCACTCATATTGGAGCCGGTGAGCTGACTTGGAGTCCTCTCCGCAGAACCCCTCACCAGGCCCCATGAGGCACTTTGGGAGATGTGGTCCAGAGCAATGCGCGCCTGCAACCCGCTGCGCTTCTTTCTGTTCTGCCCGTGGGGTCTTGGTTCGTTGTTCTTGTTTTAGTGATCCCACTCGGGTGTACTTGAGTTGAGCACTGGCTCGTTGTACATGATGATTAAACCAGCAAGAGAACCGCAGTAAACATAACACTATATACTTTGTACCAACTACATCCAAAGTACCCATCTCTCCCCCCCTGGACCAGAGTTACAATATCATCTCATCAACAATGCCAACCTGGTAGGTATCCGTACTAATGGTCCAATGCCACTGCAATGCATTAAAGAGAAAGAGACCCCACAAACTAATTTTGTCTTCTCTGCGCCCATTCGTCCACCATCAGATGGCGCCTCTGATCTCTCTCTCTCTCCAGCTTGATGCAATGCGCCCAGGAAGTTCAGGTCCAGGAACCTTTGGTGCCTCTTCTTTGCCTGCGACATCGCTGTGCCGATCAGCGCCCCTCCCCTCAAAGCTTAACTCTGACGGGCCGCCACTGCAATTATAATCACCACCAAAATGTACCAAGATTGGGTTGGGGCCGAGACTTTTAATTCCAGACTTTTTTTCGACTCATCCAATGTTCCCGTAGCTGTCCCGTCACTCGTCACCGCCATTGGAGCTCTTTTCGGCATCGTCATTGTCACTCACTCCCGTACAACCCGCACCGCACCGTCCGCCTTCTCCTCCATCTCTCCTCTTCTCCTCCCCTTCTATTCTCTCGATTTGAGTCGTACCCAAGAAATCCATCACTTTGCTTAGCCACAGCTTCATGATCCGTCCCCACGCCTTGGCTCTCACAGTGCACCTCGCCTCCCCCAAGTAAATAGCCGGCACTTGATCTTTCGTCAATCCCACCATCTGCACCAGCTTGCGGCTTGCCTCCGTCACTCTTTTGAGGTATTTGACACGGCGCTACGGATACATAACCACTACACAGTACATTATTGCGCAGTCCACCGACCCTCACCGCATCTTGACATTCCATTCTTTATTAAACACCATACCGCTCTACCCGACCTCCGTTACACACAGTTCTTCATCCCCTTGCTGCCATCACTTGCCTCTCAAACTCGAGATTCGTCTCCTTTCCTTGGCATCCCAAGTTTCACCACTCAAATACCTGACCTCTCAACCCCCCGGCACAAGACATTTACACACGACACGCCCGTGCGAAAGGAGTCAACGCTGAAGCTCCTCCTTCTCTGCTGCCCCCCCCTTTCCACAACAACACTCTGCGCGCGCGCGACCTGTCTCGTCCCGCCTTGCACACTCGTTTCTTCCCATTTACATTTGTGTCCAAACACATTTTCGGGCCCATCTTTGGTTTTCGCAAGGGCAGCAATCAGCATAAACAAGGCCCCAGTCGGTCCCAGCAAAACTACAACCGCAATCGAGCAAGGGCACGATAATAGAGCCACCACCGACGCGCGACTCCCACTCGGTATATCCACTTCCAGCCACCTCGACTTCTTTTTGCCTCGTCCAACACCCGATTTGACCTTGCAGAAATCCTTTGGCCTACCTTACCTACGGATACCTGGACTAATACCCGGAGACCCAACGCTGCCGGCATTGCTTAGTCGCATCACTTGCTCACCCGCCGCCGCCGCCGCCATTTTCCACAAGTCTCTCGTTCTGCGGCAACTTTGCGTCTTTACCCGTTCCGCCCCCCGTCATATTGCTTCCCTGACGGACTTTTTTTTTTTTTTTTTTTTTGCACGGGAACCTCTTTTAATGTGCGACTTTACGCGACTGCCATCCTACTTACACCCACGACCATACGATACGAATTAATATCTTCACCATGACGACCATGGCCCAGTCGCAGATTCAGCTGCCCACGCCGCATCCGGCACCAAGTTTGGACGTCACCATCCCACCGTCCTCGATATCTCTGCCCACCGATCCCAATTCTCGACTCCGAAGCCGCTTAGCTCTGGACACTTATTCGTCACCTGTCAATCAAAATGGTAGTTTCGAGTTCGACCGCGTCGTGAAGAGCGGCTACCTGCAGAAGCGCACGCAGAAGACAAAGGTTCGTAGGGCCCGGCTCACAATCCTTCCAATTTGCGCCTGAAGACCGTCCCTGACCAATTGAACAGACGTGGAAGTCAATTTACTTCGTTCTCCGACCCAATTCACTCTCAATCTACCGATCCGACAAGGAGGACAAGCTACGACACAAGCTGTACCTCGCCGACTTGACCGCCGTTGCTTTGCTCAAGGACCCCAAGAACAAGAGGAAGAACGTATTTGGACTCTTCTCGCCAGCGAGGAACTACCACTTTCAGGCTAGCAGTAGCCACGATGCGGAGGAATGGGTAGATTTGATTAGGAGTCATGCCCGGATTGAGGAGGAACATGATGAGCTGCTCCTCGCAAGCCCAAATGGCAAGCGACAATCCTACGTGGTGGTTGGCAGATCCGCCCAGGCCGGAGGAGAGATGGCTCGAGCCGAGAGACTAGGATCAAGTTCTCCCGAGCCGTTGGAGCCTCCAGTGCCACGCTTTGTCGGTTCAACCCATCGACGTCCATCGCAGATGGCGGATACCGCTGGGTACTCTGGCAACGAACTGGCCTCGCATTCGGACTTCTCGGACAACGAGATCCAGCGGATACAGGGCATGTCTATCGAGGACTTGGCGGTCCAGTCGCCAGGCAAAGGCTCCCAGGACCGGCCAGGTCTCGACCGTAATGCGAGCCAGCTCAGCGGTCTCAACATTGAGCAAGACCCTGATCGCGTTATCTGGCAGGGCTGGCTTTGGTTCCTCCGCAGCAAGGGTGGCGTGAAGCAGTGGAAGAACCTCTGGGGTGTGCTCCGGCCACGAAACTTCATCCTCTACAAGGACGAGTCTGAATACACGGCGCAGTTTATTCGACCAATGTCAGCAATAGTCAATGTTGTTGACATCGACCCGGTCAGCAAGACCAAGAAACACTGTCTACAGCTCATTACAGAGGAAAAGAGCTACCGATTCTGCGCCCACGACGAAGAATCTCTGATTCATTGCCTGGGCGCATTCAAAAGCTTGTTCGCCAAGAGGCGAGAGCTCGAAACGCGGGGTCCTACAGGAGGAAACCAGCCCACTACGAATGCGGCATGAAGCTGCAAGTCATTACTAGGCAACCTACAGGATTTTCTTTTTTAGCGGGAGTTTTGCCACAGCCTTTTTTTCTTTTGTTTACGAAGCATGACGCAACGATATATACTTGGGACTCTACAGAGTCGAGAAGGCGGGGGAAAACGCTTGCCAGCAGCTTTTCGACTTAGCTGCAGCTACGGTCAAGAGTCAAAAGGACAGTGACTCGAACACTGGTGGCATTCCTTGGGAGAAGGAGATGGAGAATACCAGGCTACTCGGGGGGAGAAAGAAGCCTACCAGCCAACCGCTTTGTGTTAGTATACCCTACCTTAGTGTGACACTATGGGCAGACTATGACTGCCGACCGTCTCAATATGAAGAGGCGGGTTACGTGTAACGATGATAAATGAATCAGTATTCTACTGCATTTCTTGGCTTGTCGTTGTAGCTCAGTGATGGGAGGGTTTTTGTCCTTTGACCAGCCAAATGTTGCTCAGGTGGACGCCCCCTGAAAGCCAGGAATGTGAAGAAATGACCATTCTTCTTCAGGTCATTGGCAAGGCACAGCTTTCCTCTGCTGACATTGGATCTAACAAACCCTCTCAGCAACCCAGACCAGGCAGGTGTTATTGACTTGATGATCGCTCTGGTCGAATTTGACCAATGGCGTTGAAGAAATTAGTTCTCCAACTTTAAGATGGTGGGAGGCTTCGGCACTAAGAATTACTGTGTACCTTAATGTGTATGAGGGGGAAGGGGGGGAAACGCAGAGAAAAAACGGGTGTGGCGAATGAGAGTGGCGCAAACAACCCAGACCCCCGTTTGTCCCAGCACCTCCAAGCTCCAGCCCCGGTCGGGTGACGTGGTCCCTCTTTTATCGGACGGTCCTATCGCGCCGCGCCCCGGCCACACCAACCTCACCTCACCTCCGCTGCCGGTTCCTCTCCAACTCCAAGTCTACGGGCTTTGAATGCCACCCACCTTCCCTCCAAGCTTCTGAACTTCTTTCTTGTATTTTTGACGACACCCACATTGCATCTCCCCCTCTCGTAACCTTGCAAATGGCCTGCATTGTTAATGCCGTTCCTGGCCGAGACAGGCGAATCACACGCCGCAACGGCCATGTGTCCAGCAAACGGCTTACCCCTGTCTATGGCGGGGGGGAACCTGACGAAGAGAAGAAGGCGTCTCGGCATGCTTCTTCTCTGCTGTTGGTTCTTTGAACGTATTGGATCAACAACATTGAACACTGCTTTGAGAGGAGATATGTGTGTTTATTTGCCGTCGAGTATAGGGGTGTTCATGGGTTGTTTGGCTCTTTTGCTCCTTTGACTTCTACTGTTAGGACGATGGCGACGGGATACGACGCTGTTATGAGGAGGGCCTTGGCTGGACCTGCTGCGCCGACTCTATTCGTCCGAAGTTCTACAACTTTCTTGGGGAGGCGCTTTTGACAAGTGTGATTGATTGATGCTCCATGTGAACGAGACTTCTCCAGATGGGAGGCCCCTCTTCCTTTCTGGAGGCGATTTCCTCTCAGCTCATAGTCATAGAGATTTACGAGCAATGTTCAAAATGGGGCAGGTAGGTCAGGTAAGGGTCGCGTGCTGTCACCTCGTCGCTGTTTTTGAATGACTATATCTCGTTCGACTCACCCACACCTTGTTTCGACCAAGGGCGAGCTTTCTCCCTCTCCAAAGGGTTGTATCGCTGGTCTCTGTTTGACCCTGCAGGTAGTCAGTCGCCGTTTCTGTCTCTTGCGGGTCTTCCCTCAGCTGCTCTTCTTTCGGGGTTCCATCGCAACGTCCTCGTGAACTTTTTCGACACCTTTCTATCAGGATGCTTCATATCTGATCGACCTTGACCCCCCCCCCCCCCCCCCCCCCCGGCGTATTATACCACTCGTTTTGTTCTGCTTCTGGCTACTTATTAGCACTAAAAGTTGGCCGTCCCCGGGTGTCTGACTTGGTGACGCTCCGAAAGACTAGAGTTTTGCCTAGTATCCCTATATCGACATACGATCTTAGTGATTTAGAGTAAGAATCTTGCTCGTGGGACGATATAACAGCACCGCAAAATTCACAGTACCGTCTTTACACAAGCCATATCAAAAACCGCCAACAATGAGGCCCGTCCTCATCCTCTGGGCCGTCTGGTCCCTCATCCTCCCCATCCTCGCCCAGAAACCGCAACTCCCCCTCTTCTCAACATCCCGCTGGATATCAGACTCCTCCAACGCCCGCGTCAAACTCCGCTGCATCAACTGGGCCGGCCACATGGAAGTCAACCTCCCAGAGGGCCTCCACAAGCAACCGATCGAGTACTTCGCCGACTGGATCAAGCTCCAAGGCTTCAACTGCGTGCGCCTCACCTTCTCGACAGACCACGCCACGAACCCGGGCGTCACCGTCCGCGACTCCTTCATCAACGGCGCCAAAGCCGCCGGCGTGCCCGAGGCCGACCTGCTCAAGCTCCACGACCAGGCCCTCGTCCAGAACCCGTTCCTCGCAGACGGCAACGTGACGCAGCGCGACGTCTTTGGTAAAATCATCGACGTCCTCTGGGAGCGGGACATCATGACCATCCTCGACAACCACGTCAGCAAAGCATCCTGGTGCTGCAACCTCGACGACGGCAACGGCTGGTGGAAGGACGCGCGCTTCTACTGGGCCGCCAACTCGCGCTACTTTGACACGGACGACTGGCTCGCGGGCTTGCAGCAGATGAGCCTCTGGGCCAAGACCAAACCCGGCGTCGCGGCCATCTCCCTGCGCAACGAGCTGCGCGCCACCTGGACGCAGATCCCCTTTGCAGCGGACCAGTGGTACGGCTACGTGACGCGCGGGGCCAAGACCGTCCACGAGGCGAACCCGGACGTGCTCGTCATTGTCGGCGGACTCAACTCGGCCACGGATTTCACTCCGCTCCGGACAAAGAGCCTCGATACGAGCGCGTGGAAGGGGAAGAACGTGTGGGAGGCGCACAGCTACAGCTTCACAGTCACGACGCCGAATTTCGGGGACTGCAACGTCGAAAAGGCAGAGTACGGCGCGCTGTTCGGCTTCGTGCTGGAGCAGGGGAAAGGGTACACCGGTCCGCTGTTCTTGTCGGAGTTCGGGGCCGCCATGCAGGGCGGGAGTGAGGATGGGCTGTCGGCTGAGGAGCATGCGTACTTGACTTGCCTCGTGGGCTATCTCGAGGACAATGATGCGGATTGGGCGCTGTGGGCGATTCAGGGGTCGTATTATGTGCGGAACAAGGTGGTTGATTTTGATGAGACGTGGGGTGCCATGGACCACGAGTGGAAGGACTGGCGGAACGGTAAGTTCAAGGGGCTGTTAGGTAATATTTTTGCTGTTACTCAGGGGCCTTAGCATGGCTGCTGGGAGGGCGAGAATGTGGGAACATATGAGATGTCGGTGTTGGGGATCGGGATGAGATATATAGATCCTGCCCGGGCGTCGGGCGATAGTTGGTTATACCACTTTAGTATTGATGTTGAAGTTGAGGACCGCGCCCCTTTCTTGTTTGGGCGAGGGGTTTTTGTACTATCAAGCATCTTGATGGGCGGCGATGGCCCTTGCATGTCGAGAACAGCCAGTATTTGTCGCCACGCATTCGAGCCGTCGCATCGAATGATCAGACTGATGTAAATGATAGGTCGCCTTTGGGATGTTGTCGTCCGTTCACGCTTAGTAGAGATGGAGATGTCGATGAAAGCGATTGGAATAACTGGGTATCATGAATTTCTACCAATATCTAGTCCAAAGAGCTGGCCAGTTTGCGGGTCTGGGCGAAGACGCGCGCCTGAACTCTCGGCTGACGCTGGCCGGAGACCTACCTCCCTAAGAGGTCTCCTTTGCCTCGTCAGCCTTGGCCTCTTCGACTGTCTCTTCCGTCTCTTCTTTCTCCTGGGCTTCTGCGGGCTTCTCAGCCTCGTCGGCCTCCTTGGCTTCCTGAGGCTCTTGGGTTTCCTGCGGTGCCTCTACCGGCGCATCGTCCATGGCCGTGTCCGCTCTATCTGCTGCCGCCTCGTCGTCTGGCTTGCCATTGGTGAGCTTGGTTTCTTCGGCTTTGCCATAGATGTAGTCCTCCAGCGTCTTGAAAGTGGCTTCGAGCTCCTCGTTGGTAAGAACCAAATCAAACCCGTCCTTTAGCTTCGAATCTTCCTCCCAGTAGGGAGCAGCTTTGCCAAGGGCGTCCGCAGCCAAACCGCCCTTCTCCGCCTTTTGGAAACGTTCTTCCAAAACTTCTTTACTTGGTGGCAAGATGAGAATTGTCCGTGCTGAGTAGCCAAGGTCGCGAGTTTGTTGGATAGCCTACATTTCGTTTAGTAAAATTCCAGCAGTTGGTTGGGAGAGAAGGGAGATGTCTGACCTCGCTGTCCATGAAGGTGACTGGGACCTTGCCCCCCTCGACAACCGCTTCCAAAGCCTTCCGGCTCGTGCCATAGTCCACCTCGTCTATCGTAGTATACTCCAACAACGCATCGCCGTCTCTCAGTACATTAAAGGCCAGCTTCTCGACAAAGTGGAAGTCTTTACCATCAGCCTCGCCTTCTTGCGGCTTTCTTGTAGTGTGCCGAGGCACGTGTGTGAAGGCTCCAGGACGCCGGCTTGCCAGTAGTTGAAAAAGCGTCGCTTTTCCTGCACCCGGTGGTCCTGAGAGTATAATTGGGCGCTTGTCTCCAGGGACGTTTTCAGAGTTCGCGGCTTCCTCGGCAGCCTCGCTCTCGTCTACATCGACCGGTTCCTCAAAGATGGCGTCAATCTTCTCCGGATCGTCAATCTTGTCGAATAAGGCCAGCCTTGATTTGCCTGCTATCCGGAGAGCGCGCCAACTTTTACTCGCTTTGCTTTCAACAATGGCCGCTTTGGCCTGGTTGTCTTTCGCCATACCCATGTCAAAGTCGTCGTCCGCAATCTTCCCCTTGAAACTCTCAAGCTCTGGTAGGCTGTATCTTTCCGGAGCCTTGAGCTTCTTCATCGCACGCTCGTCATCGCCATCATCCAGGAAACCGAGGGGCAGAGACCCCATCGGCGTGGCCCTCAATCGTTTCTTCGTTGTTGTACGCTGGGCTGTCTTTTTGGCCTCGTCAAATATCTCTGGAGATACTGCGGGCAACTCTATTGACGGGCAGTTCTCCGATTTCCAACGGATCCAGTTCTTATCCCTGGCAAGGACCGTTTCGACCATCCGACTGAAATACGGGCCGTCAACGCCGTGCTTGAGGTACTTGTCGACAATTGTCTTCTTCATCTCCGTTGCCCACTTCGTCTGTCTTCGTGTCAGCCTGATCTCATAAATGTCGCAGGAATAGTACAATCACCTACATCTTCTTCGGTAAGGACCTGGCCAAGGTAGATCACCGACTTGTTCTGAGCGTTGCTGGCTAGTTTCTCCTTAGTTTTCGGGGAAAGCGAGAGAAGGAAATCCATGATAATCAAGGCCTGAACGAGGATATGTCTGCGGAAAGAGATGTCGCTCATCTAGGACAGTCAGTCTGAGAGCCACACAGGATGATCGGTCATAGCTTACCTCTAGTTCGAACAGGTCTCTGCTGGTAAGGTATTTGGGATTGTATGAGTTTGCCAAGTCGCTCTCTTCCACATCTGCTCGTTTCCGTTTGAAGCCGCGTTGGGCCTCATCTACCGCTTTCGGCGGTCGCTGACCCTGCTCGCTCTGGATCGCTCGAAAAGATGTCATTGTCGCTTCTAAACCGCGCTTGAACTCGCTCAAGTGCGCAGGATCGAATAACCTCTTGGGTTGGCTGAATGTCTCCTGCAGAGACCAGAACAAGGGATACAGCGCATCGGGCTCGAGCGGCTGATCATTTTGTGCTGGCTTCTTCGCGTCAAACGAGACAGCCTTTGGCTGAGACTTTGACTCTGTTTCCTTGGCTCCCGTCTGGCTGTCCACGTCCATCTGCTCGGGTGTTTCCTCAGCTTTGGCACTCAAATCATCAAAGACTGTGGCGTTCTCGGTGTGGTATTCTCCTCTCAAGTTAACAGAACTCTTGTCTCCCAGGGGAAAGCTCTGGAACATGAAGATGAACACGCGACCGCAGAAAGCAGTATCCTCAGCGCGGGAGAGACGTCGTAGGAGTTCGTTACAGCTGCGAAGGATCACCAGTTGCTTTTGCTTAAAATGCTTCACGGTGATCCTCTCGCGCCTCGACTCAAGAAAGTCGAAGATCTTGCGGCATCCGGCGATTGTTTGGCTGTCCAGGAGTTCTTCTACCAGCCAGAACAGCAAGGCTGGATCGCATTTTCCGTCGTCGGAGAGCACAGTCAGGAGGTCGAACAGGTTCCAGACCTTGACGAAATCTGGGGATTCGATGGGCGTGGTGGCCTAGAGAAGCAGGTTGTTAGTCAATTGATGAGCCTGGCGGGGATGACTGAGTTCGACCTACAATCAAATTGCTGAACACATCTCGTACGGCAGTCTCGATGATAGCAAATTGTTGGGCTTTGTTCTGTATCGTACTGCCGACCCCATTCTCTTCTGAGGCTCCCGGGACCACAAGCACGCGAGCAAGCTGGTCTTGCAGATCACCAAAGTCTGCCTTTTGTAATGCCGGTTCAATGGTAGGTGTAGATTTGACCTCCATCGAGCGAGCTAGAAGGTCGTCTAGCAGTTTTGCAAATGCAACGACCCCGGGCACCTCATGGCGCTGAGGCGTGACGGCGGCCGGCATCTTGCGATCGGTCGAGGGATTGCGCTTAGTCGTATAGAGGCGAGGAAAGCTTGGCTATATGTGCCATGTGGCGGTAGGCTCGGCCGGTCGAATGGACGTCGCTTTCGTTCGGCCCAGGAATGCTGGGGACTTCGTTGCGGAAAATGTGTTCGTGATGCGCAATGCTGCCGATTGAAAGAAATCACGATCGGAGCTTCAGTTGAGGTCCGCACGTAGGTAAGGTAGGTACGTCGCAAACAACGGGTAAAAGTGACCTTGAATTTGAGTAAGTGGGTCCACCCAGCTGGCGCTACCACACTGGAACACGCTCCTTCGCCAACTTCACAGCGCGTCTATGAGACACCCACAGGCACCTTGCGACTCCCATCGGACCAGTAAGCAGCCCTGCAACTTGCAAGCAAACACTGGGGGAGGACTGATCGCGTCGGCTCGTCGCGTGGGGGACCTGCACACCAGTCAACTCACCTCCATCTGAAAGTGCGACTTGCCCGAAAAGCAAGGCTGAAATTTTTGAGTGGAGGACGAGCTCTGCATTTCGTCACCTTCAACAATTGCGCGCCTGCGCATCGAATTTTCCACAGCAAACCGATACCCGCCTTGTCTTTCCTCACCAGCATGCAATCGCGCATATTGGCGTTACGTCTTGTTCGAAGCTGAATTGCACCATGCCGACAGCCAAGAGGCAGAAGAAGAGCAGCGAGGCTCAAGCTGCGCCGTCAACCCGATCTCAAACAAAGGCCACCAGCGACCGTCCAACGGTTGCCGACATCGAGGGGGAGAGCGCATTCGCTCAATTGGCAAAGAAGCACTGGTTGAAGACGACAAGGAGCAAGAGGGCGGTCAAGGTCAAGGTCAAGAACGATGTTCTAAAGCAAGAGATATGGGATGTTTTGGAGCGTGATGGCTTCCCGTATAAGTCTATCTTGACTTTGGAGAGCTTGCAGACTCTCGAGAGGTATGTGCAATGGCACTGATCTTTGGATATCGACTGATACTGGCGTCTCTTAGCTACCTGTGGCCCGGATACTCCGACGATTCCTCCAACCATCATGTCCTACTGTTGGTCCTGCTGGCAAATGTGAAGCGCCGCGAACAACTCGAGGCATGGAGCATATTCGAGGATCGACCAGACGAATTCTCGAGCCTTTTCCGCCGAATCCTATCCCTGACTCTCGACCAAACACTTTCGCCCGCGATCCGGACACACTTGCTGTCATTCTTGATCTCAGCTTTTCAGAGCTTGGATTGCGCGATTGTGAGAAAAGAGTGCGCACCGTTAGTCTCCATTTCAATATGGCACAGTTTGTCGACAGAAGAACTACGCGAAGAGAAGCTCGAGCAGCACGCGCATGTGAGAAAGGCGTGGCGTGCTGCAGGAAAGAGATACGACGCTGCCGACGACGCTACGAAGGCGAAATTGCGATTTGATCGATCATGGCTGTACAGCTTGGTCTTGCACTTTCTCAGCTTGATTTACATAGAGAACGCAAAGCCAGGTAAGAATTTTCGTATACCTAGCTTGGGGAATGAGAGGCTGACGCGAACTAGACCAAGTCCTATACTGCGAGCGCTTCGTCGAGTTCTTGACAGACTTGCAAAGCCAGCTTCCTACTCGACGTTATGTCAACACCCTCTTACTTGACCTCCACATCCTCCCTGCCATGCGTCTATCGCCTGTCTTCAATGACGAGGAAAACAGTCTTCTGCGGGATCTGAACGCGCTACTCAGACATTACACCTTTTTCACCATTGACGACCAAACAGGCGCACAGCTGAGCCGAACAGAAGCCTACGACAAGCACTGCGCAAACTTGTCGAGGCTTCAGAAAACGTCATTGAAGCATTTCAAGGAAAAGCTCACTGTATTGGCGTTGTCGAACTATGGCTCCATCGATAAGAGAGATGAGCTCGCCGGACTTCTGGAACCCCTGACCGACGAAGAGATTGTCGAATTGGCAGGCTTGCTTCGCCTCCGGACGACATACCCCGACTCTTTATCAGTGAGCATCGACAGAAAATTTATGCTAGAGGCGCTTCTCACTACATTTGAACGGCGAAAAACCTTCCAGGAAATCGCTCGCGACATGGCGATGGTCCCCACGGAACAATCCTTGTTCGAGAACAACGTGATGAGAACCGAGAACTACGATGGTTCCCACCCCCTCGCTTTGCCGAAACTGAACCTGCAGTACCTTTCAGTTGGCGACTTCCTCTGGAGATCACTCGTCTTATACCGTGCCGAGTCATTCTACGGCATCCGAAAAGATGTTGAGTCCGCCATTCGTCGCCTGCGACCTGAAAGTCGTAGGCCGGGTGAAACCAGCTTCCAAGGGTTCTCCAAGATGGCCTTGCCGACTTCAAAACCTTCAATCCTAGAAGTTGTGCCTGCCCTCGTAGGAGACGATAAACCGTCATTGGTTCGAGCAGAAATTTCTATTGATGTCCGTCGTCTGAACGATGGTATCAAGCGCGAATGGGACTCGCTGAGACCAGACGATGTAGTCTTTCTTCTCGCCATTCAGGCTCCCGCCTCTCAAAGCGCCACGAATGGAGATAGTGCACACTCAGAAACCGAGAAGCTTGGGATCATCTCAATTCGATCCGCCGAGATTATTCAGATCACTGACGACAAGGGTAAGGCGGTTCGAGATGGTTCAGGGCACTACGACAGCCGTCGGAGGTTCCAGTTGAGATTAGATCCCAGGACATATGCAGCGGATGCCGAACGCTCATCTGCAAGCCCGCCTGAGGCATACGAGCGGATCAATCTTATCATGCGCCGCAGCGGAAGGGAAAACAACTTCAAGCCCGTGTTGGAATCTATCCGCAGCTTAACGCTCTCAGAGGTCCCGATTGCTTCGTGGTTCCATGAGGTTTTCCTCGGCTACGGCGACCCTGCTGGCGCAACTTATAAGCAGTTACCGAACCGCATCAAGACCATCGACTACCGCGACACCTTCTTGGATTGGCAGCATCTTACTGGGAGCTTGCCGGGCAAGATTGTAGAGCCGAGTGATGATGTTTCTGGTAGCTTTGGCCCTCCCTATGTGTTGGAGACCACCGAGCGCCAAGCCGTTGAGCCCTCATCAAAGCCATCCAAGAAGCGTCGCCGGGACACTGAGCCTGCCTTACTGGCTGAGGTAGAGACCGTGAAGGTATCGACCTACAAGCCACCAAACACCGGCCCATATCCTGTCGACGCGCCGAAGTTGAACAAGGTGCGATTCACTCCGGCACAGATAGAAGCGATCACATCAGGAACGCAACCTGGTCTCACAGTCATCGTTGGTCCTCCTGGAACGGGCAAGACGGATGTCGCAACGCAAGTCATCAACAACATCTATCACAACTTTCCGGAGCAGAAGACGCTCTTGATTGCACACAGCAACCAGGCGCTCAACCAGCTGTTCGCAAAGATTGTGGCTTTGGATATTGATGCCCGTCATCTACTTCGTCTGGGACATGGCGAGGAAGAACTCTACACAGAAGGCAGTTTCAGCAAACACGGCCGTGTCGAATCGTTTTTGGAAAACCGGGATAGATACCTGCTGGAGGTCAACCGTTTGGCGGCCAGCATCGGCGCGCCTGGTGCTCACGGTAATTCTGCCGAAACGGCTGGCTACTTCAACTCGGTGTACATCGAGCCAGCCTGGACCAAGTTCACCGAGATGACCAAGGCGGAAGAGGCTTCGGCCGCTGATATCATCGGCGCTTTCCCCTTCCATCAATTCTTCTCGGATGCGTCGCAGCCTCTCTTCGCACCCGAGGCCGACAGGGAAAGCGTCCTCGATATTGCTACCGGGTGCTACCGCCACATTGCAAAGATCTTTTCTGAACTGGCTGACGCCATGCCATTCGAGATTCTACGCCGAGACAAGGACAAGGCCAACTATCTACTGACCAACGAAGCACGAATCATTGCCATGACATCTACTCATGCGGCAATGAGACGTGGAGAGATTGCTGCCCTTGGATTCCACTATGACAACGTCGTCATGGAGGAAGCAGCTCAAATCACTGAGATTGAGAACTTCATCCCCTTGGCTATGCAAAAACCAAAGAAGGGCCAAATGGGCCTACAGAGAGTTGTCCTCTGTGGTGACCACTTCCAGAACTCCCCAGTCATCCAGAGCATGGCATTCCGGCATTACGCGAATCTGGAACAGTCGCTGTTCTCGCGACTTGTCCGCCTTGGAGTGCCCACTATCAACCTGGACCAGCAAGGCAGAGCTCGACCGTCCATCGCCAGTCTCTACCAGTGGCGGTACCCGAAACTGGGCAACCTGCCGCACGTGGAAAGCGAAGGCGAGTACTCTGTGGCGAACGCTGGCTTCAAGTACGACTACCAGTTCATCAACGTGCCCGACTACAAGGGGCGTGGAGAAACGGAGCCAACCCCCCACTTCATCCAAAACCTCGGAGAGGCGGAGTATGCCGTGGCTGTGTACCAATACATGCGCCTTCTAGGCTACCCGGCATCGAAGATCAGCATCCTGACTACTTATGCTGGCCAGCGAGCCCTGGTGAAAGACATCCTGGCCCATCGGTGCGCCGACAAGGCGATCTTTGGCATGCCCAAGATTATCACAACGGTGGACAAGTACCAGGGCGAGCAAAACGACTGTAAGTTTAATCAATAGTGTGCAGAATGGATCACCTGTATGGGAAACTAATTGTTCTCTAGATATCATCTTGTCGTTGACCCGCACATCAAGAGTCGGATACCTTCGGGATATCCGTCGCATGACGGTTGCGCTCTCTCGCGCTCGTCTCGGTTTATACATCCTTGGTCGTCGTGAGATATTCGAGGCATGCTACGAGCTGCGGCAAGCATTCGACCAGCTCTTGGCTCGACCCGATAAGCTCATGCTCGTCACGGGCGAGCTCTATACAACAGACAGGCCGACTACTGAAGATATCAAGGCTGAAGTTCCCGGGGAAGTTTGCATGGAAGGGGTGGAACATCTGGGCCAGTACGTGTACCAGATGACCAACACTAA